CAGAATACCATTCTGTGGCTGTGAGCTTGGACGAAATTTCCAAATTTCGTCTTATATAAGACGAAATTTCGAGTTAGTAAGACCAAATTTCGACTTGGTAAGACGAAATTTTGACTTAGTAAGTCGAAAGTTCGACTTAATAAGACGAAATTTCGAGGTTACTAAGTCGAAATTTCGACTTTTTATTTTTTTTCCACTGGCACTCCTGAGCTTTCGCATGAGTTTCTATCGAATTATGAAATAAAAATTTTTTGTGATACAAGACCATTAGACGCCGCACTATTGTCGATTTACCTTTACACAAACGGATATTATGTGTCCCAGTATCTGCAGATCAGTGAATTCCTGCTGATTTCACGTGATTGTGACTCGTTTTTTCGTCGGGAAATTGGCAGAATCGCAGTCGCGTTGTAGTGTAACGTGTAGCAGCATCGAGTTAGCCTTTGTGTGGGGGAGTATAGATTTGGATCTAATCACCGGAAGATGAATTGAACATGTGAGTTTTCTTCGATACATTTATCCATTTCCCGGAAAATCGATTTTTCCTCTCGCAGCGACGTTGGAAAATCAGTCCGGGTTTTCCGCGTGAATCTATTGACATTGGTTCGACTTTTACTGCTCAGCCTATTTATAAATAAATGGACAATGAATTTCGACGTGATGTGTTGAGTTTTTTTCTAGGTTTTCGTCATTATGATGATCGATCACATGGTCACTTGTATGCGGGTTTTTATATATCCCGAAGTGTGGCTTATATAACGCGCTATATTATTATTGCGTTAATACCTATTTAAATGACAAAAAAACTGTATCCCAGACAGCTCAGAATATTCTATGTATATTCTGACAACGTTCAAATATGCTTATTTTAGAATATTCTTATTATGGAATGTTCTCAGAATGATCATAGAATATTCTCATTCTGCAACGAATATTCTATGAACATCCAATTCGACATATTCTCAGAATTCTTTTTGAATATTCTGAGAATAATATTTTTGAATGTTCTGAGAATATTCAGAATCGGGTAAAACTGCATTAATCATGCGATGTTTTTTTTTTTCGAAAAATTTTTTTGGTACTTACGTACTTTTGTCTGAAAAACACGAATTTGATCTCGAATTTGATAATGAAAATGTGAACAAACCACTATTTATAGAGAGATTCCAAGAAAAAGTTCGAAATTCCGCCTTACGTCAAATGTCAACAGATTGGTGTTGCTTCTGAATGACGACATCTTGATAAATCATAAGAAAATCCTATTTCTAGTTGACTCATACAATAGAAAATAATGTGTCGTACATTGTGATATATAAATTGTCCAATGATAAAAAAAGATCAAATTGTTCTAAATGCGATCCAGAAGATAGGCGGAAAAGAAGGTGTGAATAATGGTTTGTTCACATTTTCATTACCAAATTCGTGTTTTTCAGACAAAAATACGTAATACCCAAAAAAAATTTTTGAAACAAAAAACATCGCATGATAAATGCAGTTTTACCATGAATCGTATCAAAATATACCGGGTGTCAACGAATCTATTAGACAAGTCATAACTTCTAGACCATTAGGTGTATCAAAATGAGATTTGGTATAGGTGAATGGTATGTGAAGAGGATAATTTTCACATATTTTAAATTTTTTCGGTCACTTCCGGTTTCACCGGAAATGGCTCCGGTTCTAAATGTTTAAATTGAACACCCTGTATATTGTAACATTTTTGGATTTCTGACACAATTCTAGATCAGAATGTGACATTTTCGAATAAGTTTTCATGTCTACTTGATTTTTTCGGAGTCACTTTTGAAATTACATCTAGGTGGCCATGATTTGAAGTAAACTAATCTAAGGACCTCAGGTGATATCAGAAAATTACAATTGTTGTTGTGTTGGCTATGTGATTCCCCAAGATCAAATGTCATGAGCGAAATTGAAGCAGTAAACAGGAGTATGTCAATGGACGAAAATTTCCAGGAAAACTAGCATTACGAGATGTATTCGTATGAAGATTTCATGATTGAGACAACAAACGAATGCCTCGCGAGAGTTCCGCACACTCCATCCAGTATTCTGGAATTTCTGGAAGATTCTGATTGGTTCTCGAGAACAAAAGTGTTAAAGTCATACCGAGTCATACGAATCGATACGAATACAACACGTGATACTATTTTTCCTGGAAATATTCATCGATTGACATACTCCGACTTGTGCTGCTTTGATTTCACTCATTACTTTGTTCCTAAATTTCTCGCCTAGTGCTCGAAAGTTTTGATAAGCAATGTCATTCGAACGATATCAGACAACAACGGGCAACAATCTATCGTAACAATCGCTAAAAATTTCCGGCAAAATAGTATCATTTGTTTCGAATTTTCTTTTGGAGGACTCGTTTTTATCTATCTTCAAAAATATATGATAGCCTCGTTTATATCCTTATCTTCTTTCAAGATACTCTCGATTATACCGAGGATTATATCAAGTAGGATTAAACACTCCTAAAGAGAGAAGATGATGTAGCTATAGGTATTTTTTATTATTTTTTTCGTGAAACAGCAACGGCTATCGGAACTGAGGAAATTAATCAATCATTTCGGTGAGTGTTGACATCGTTCTCATGGCATATAACTATATAAAAATATCATACAGGGTGTCCCATATGGTCTAAGGGACCTAAGGCGTACACTAAAATTGACACTGGATCATTCTGAAAATTTGGGTACTTTTGTAAACGATCAAAATGTTATGAGACACCCTGTATATTATTGCATGTTCTGAATTTGTCATAAAATAATTAAAAATTGCTCGGACAGGTCGATTTCAATTTCTGTAATTATTATATACCAAAGTTGAAACCTTGGAGCGTATAGCGGGCATCAACTTTCGATTTTCTAATGGAACACCCTGTGTGTCGAAACTATTCATTATCAGTCAAAACGGCTTTCATGTCCCTATCTAAACTTTTGATTCACTATCTACTGACATTTAATTGGAACAAATACAGGGTGATTCAAGATTCAGAATTCTTATCACCTCGCTTATCACCCTGTATTTGTTAAAATTGAATGATCAGAATTCTGAATTTTGAACCAACCTGTATCTTTTCCGATTGAATATCAGTAAATAGTTAATCAAAAGATGAGATAGGGATATGTGAGCCGTTTTGACCGATAATGAATAGTTTCGACACAAAAAAATCCTATATATAAAGTTGACAAATCTCGATTTTGAACACCCCATATCTCTGTAATCATTTCCGATAGACCCCAAGTGTGATACATCGATAAAATCAGCTCTTCAGGGAGAATCTAGAAATGCGATAAAATACAGGGTGTTTAATTCGAAACATCAATGTTATTGCTACTACTTTCTAGTGCGTATTCTAAAATGTAGGCATGCACATAATATACAGGGTGTTACATAATTGCATAATTCAATACAAATATTTTTTTCTGTGACGGGAAAAAAGTTTGGCATTTCATCTCTGTTGGCAGGTTATAAAATGTCACTTTTCATAAATTACTTTTTTCCCGTGGGAAAAAAGTGAGTACTTTTTTCCCGGATATATATCACATATATATACTCTGTTAATGGCTTTTGTTGTGCTATAGTTCCGAAAAATGAGTCAATAATATACCGTCTCCGAGGAAGAACTGCAAGTCCTTTTATCTTCCATTCGACTTCGCGGTTTCGTATATTACTAAACAACTACTGAATTCGCAATTTTTTAAAATCAAATCACAGAATTGAACTGACAGAAGTGACATCAGATATTTGATTACTTCAAAAGAATGATAAAGATGCATATAAAACGCAGGTGTCCCTCCTGTTAAAAACTTGAAATTTCACGTCGATAATTTTCAGATTTCCAAATAATGTAATATCTTCTCAATATTGATTCGTCCTTCCTTCTGTCACAGAAAAAAATAGTGTATTATACACGGGAAAAATATTAGATTTTAGCGAGGATTTTAGCTCACGGTTTTTTGTCTCCCTCCGCTACGCGTCGGGAGACAACACAACCTGGAGCTAAAATCTACTACTTTTTTCCCTTGTATAATAAATAACTATTATGACATATTCCTGGGGTCAAAATAAGACTTTTTTTTTCCTATAAACATGTGTCCTAAAATCCACCCCCTCCAAGCTACAGACATCGCGTGTAATGGTAAGTTGAGGAAAGTGAATCGATTGTGACATGACGGTTATGACATACCACAATGTCAGTTTGACATTAAAGATATTAATCAATCATTAGTTACCAGAGACAAACATAATCATAGCTCACTAAGTTTTTTTAGTATAATAATTTGAAAATACACCCGTTTCATTTACTAGCGATTTTCTCTAAAACGGTTAGCTAATTCAAGAAAATGCAAGAGACTGAAATGTATGATTTTTTAGTGGCCAATTCAACGATGATGTTTGAATTCAAATTTTTTTGGAGGAAATAGAAAATGTTTGCCATCAAATCTGTATGCATCCCTCATTCACCCCCTTTCGATTCGAGTTACCTTATTTTTGAATCAAGAAATGAATAGATCGTCTAAAAATACAAGTGCCTGTGAATTTTCAAAATATTTGATGCATAATTGTAGCCACAATTCAAAATTTAAGATTTTTTTTGCGCATCTTGCGATGTCTGTAGCTTGGAGGGGGTGGATTTTAGGACACATGTTTATAGGAAGAAAAAGTATTATTTTGACCCCAGGAATATGTCATTAAAATATTTGTATTGAATTATGTAACACCCTGTATAAAGATAGTGTAAGCTCGTCGTGACATACCCTGTATATAGTGTTTATATCCACTAGTATAGTGTAGAGTTCCTAAATGTACTTGACATACAAAAAACGTCAAAACAGCGGTGTCTAGTACAGTTAGGAACTCTAGTATAGTGTTGTCAAAAATTTCAGATTATAACCTGAAAAATTGAAATTTTATGTCAAAAATGTCAATAACACTTAAATTTTTGTGTGTTTCACAGTTGAAATCGGTAGAAGATGGCGACGAGACTGAAAAAACTAGCGGTGGCAGGAGTGGCTGGAACAGTAGGAGCTGGTCTCGTGACCCATTTCCTTCTGAAAGAAGACAAAAACGTAAGTACGAACAATTAAAACCAGGCACAATCACAATTTCGCAACAAAACTGAACTTCTCATACAGTGTGACCCAATTCTAATGGAAAAACCCCTGTATCTCACGTAATCGTTGGGTAAGAATCCTGAAACTTGCTGAAGTGAGAGATATACCAAAAATGCACTTTTTGCCCAAGTGGGGTCATCTTCAGTGACATACACTGCTCGCCAACAGCAATGGAACCACCCCAATTTCCGGAAAATTATATTAGGAGTCAAAAATAGGTTGAAAATCACTTCGGGTTTGGAATCAGGACGCCCGATTCACTAACTATTCATAGTTTTCCTAGGAAATTTTCAGTTCAGAAATAGTTATTTATTATACAAGGGAAAAAAGTAGTAGATTTTAGCTCCAGGTTGTGTTGTCTCCAGACGCGTAGCGGAGGGAGACAACAAACCGTGAGCTAAAATCTAATATTTTTCCCGTGTATAATACACTATTTTTTTCTGTGACAGAAGAAAGGACGAATCAATATTGAGAATATATTACATTATTTTGAAATCTGAAAATTATCGACGTGAAATTTTAAGTTTTTACCAGTAGGGACACCGCGTTGTAGGCATCTTTATCATTCATTTGAAGTAATCAAATATCTGATGTCACTTCTGTCAGTCTGATTCTGTGATTTGATTTCAAAAAATTGCGAATTCAGTGGTTGTTCAGTGATATACGTAACCGCGAAGTCGAATGGAAGATAAAAGGACTTGCAGTTCTTTCTCGGAGACGGTATTATTGACTCATTTTTCGGAACTATAGCACAACAAAAAGCCATCAACAGTGTATATATATGTGATATATATCCGGGAAAGAAGTACTCACTTTTTTCCCACGGGAAAAAAGTAATTTATGAAAAGTGACATTTTATAACCTGCCAACAGGGATGAAATGCCAAACTTTTTTCCCGTCACAGAAAAAAATTAAATTTTGTCTCACTTCTCATGCAAGCAACCCCCGTATCTCACGTGATTATTGAGGTAGGGTTCTGAAATTTGCAGGAGAAAGGAAAAGTCCAAAGATAAAGTCAATTACGCAAGATACGGGGGTGCTTCCGTAAAAAGTGCGATAAAATTTAATTTTTCAGAACGGAAAATTTTCCAGGAAAAATATGAATATTTAGTGAGTTGGGCGTCCTAATTCCGAATCTGAAGTTATTTTTCACCTATTTTGACTCCTAATATCATTTTCCGGAAATTGGGGTGGTTCCATGGCTGTTGGAGGGCAGTGTATATCACTGAAGATGACCCCACTTGGTCATAGAGTGCATTTTTATTATATCTCTCGCTCTAGCAAATTTCAGGATCCTTAACGAACGATTACGTAAGATATAGGGGTGCATTCCCAACAACATATAATCTCCAAAAGTTCAAAAAAAAATCCCAATACCTACCTCCTGTCCCTATCCTCCCTAGGAACGCACGATGTTCTTTGAACATTATAGGGATTCCCTTTCGTGCGCTCCAAGCGATAAAAAAAAAGGAAGTGGGTCACCCAACTAGCATTTATAGTCGCGATTACGTAATTACGACTATTGGGTCGACTATTAAGTAATATTTACTAGTTGCGGTTACGTTATAATTACGTCGTTACTACGTATTTACGACCAAAATGGGGAACAAATCACGAGTAATTATTACGGTTTGCCGACGTAGCGGGAACTCACCACAATTACGTAATGCTTACGACCCGTCGACGTCGAAATTACGTAAAGATGTAGTAAATTTTCCTACCTGACTTTCTATTTCTTTTCCACTTCATAAAAATATTATTTTCTCTCTTTATTATTCTTCATTTCATCCATGAAGTTCACATTCACGAAAAATGAACAAGTCCAATATGCCTAACCATTCAATAAATAATACAAGGACAAACACGCGAAATAATTGATACTCGAACTTGAAAAAATTCGAACAACATTCAGTTTTTCGATAAATGTGATGATTTTGCCTCGAAATTCAAGATGCGCCCACAAAATACGGCTCATTTCACCAAAAATATGGTTTTATTTCATTAGGCTATTTTTCAAAAATCATCGTAAATCATGTTAATTTCCATTATTATGCAATTTGTGATCGAACGAATGCTATTATTCTTCATAAAATGATGTTTATCAACAAGAAAAACCAAAATTATTTCCTGTTCAAATGGTTATCACATCAATCAATATGGCTTCCAATCGAAAATGAATCAGAAAGTTACTTTTGGAACTCGTCAGTTATGATAACCTATGTATTGGTAACTTCAACTGAATATAATTACCGAAAAGTTGTTTCAACTATGAAGGAATTGTTTGAGTAGGAATTACCAATATGTTACTTGAAATATCACCAAGAATTGACTAAATTATTAGGTGATCGATCAAGTAACGACAACGTCGTAGAAACCTAATTGGTGACCATAGAGTAATTGCAACTGTGAAGCCTTCTTGGGGTGGTAAGCGTTACCGTAATAATATATCCAAAGTTCCGAAACCTTAAGAGTACTTTTGAGGAGTGACAGTTTCGAAATAGTTACTTCGTAATAAGCCATGAGAATTTCTCACTTTGAAGTTATTATCTAGTGTAAAAACTACGTAATTTTCACTCACTAAATAACTATCACTGACATTTATACTATGAAGTTCTGAAATAAGTGATAAATACGTTATTATCACTAAATATAGGTAATTGTTTCTTGAACCATGGTGCCTGTGACTGAAAATGCTAGTTGGGCACACTGTATAATTTATATACAGGGTGTCTCTGAAAGGTTTGTACAAAATCTCAGCACATATTCGGCCGATTTAAAGTAACTTACCTCAGTCCGAAGTTGCTTCGTTTCCGAGATACAGGGTGGTAAAGTTGAAGAATAAAATCGAATTTCTCAGAATTTATGAACATGTTTCAACGTATAACTTCAAAAATTAATATTTGTTTTTTTTTTGGGACGCGAAACACGAATACGGGTACCTTTTCACTGTGGCCATTAGAGGGCGCTCACCAATGCACTTCTTATGGTGTAGAATGGCCATAACTTTCTTCTCAGTGTAGTTTCTCAGTTTATTCGTTGAGGAAATATTTTTCTGAACATTTTTAGGCAGAAAGGAGACTATTGTTATCCGCTGAAGTATGCCGATTTCGAGATATTTCGGTTTTTAATGTTCGATGCAGCACCACAATATTTGAATTGGAATAAAAAATGTTTGCCGTTATCATCTTGGATGTTATTTGGTGAGTAAATCACGAGGTGAATTAGCAGTGCAAAAATGGATTTTTCTAAATGCTTTCTTGAAGTGTACTTGTCGATTTTTATTTTTTAACTTCAACACCCTGTATCTCGGAAACAAATCAATTTCAGACTGAAGTAAGATGCTTCAAATCGGCCTATTTTGACCTATGGTATATGTGCTAAGATTTTGTATAGATCATTTAGGGACACCCTGTATATAAATATTTAAAGAACCCTCATTGTTCGAAATTACTGATATACCGAATGTTCTACTCGTGACAACATAAATACTCGACACCCGAGTTGAGACCTTTTAAGACTACAATGAAAATTCGCCTTCTGCTTTATTTGAAACATTTATTATACAGTAAAATCTGAAAGATTAGCCTGAAGAAACTGAATAACTCTTGATGTTTCAGTGGCCGTTGACCGTGAAAGCGGATAAACCATCATTGAAACCGAAACGAGTACTGCCGACAAGAGACGAACAAATAAAATCTTTGCAATCGGAAAAATTCGATGTTGTCGTCATAGGCGGGGGCGCCACTGGGGCAGGGTGCGCCCTGGATGCCGCTACAAGAGGTAAGCACCCCTTTAATTGAAACTAGCAATCGAATACAGTGAAATATTCTGTAAAGTGAAATTCGTCAGATTCCATGAGAAATTTTGAGATCTGGCAACAGCGATGTGAAAAAATCAAGCTTGCGAGTATTGAATATCCCACAGGTTCCACGCGGGAGGCAGAGAGGCATATAACGACCTCTCGCTCAGTTTTGCTTTTGTTGCCGTGGCGGTATTTTTAAAATTTGTATGTGGATATCGAATATACGGAAAGAAAGAAAAATCATTGCAGGTAGAGCAGATTGCATTAAGGTGGACGACCACGAAATAATAATGTTCCATTCCCGCTAGACTCCAAGTGTGATATATTGATGAAATCAGCTCTTCAGGGAGAACCAATAGGACAAATAGTTTTTGAGATATCGGCGCTCAAAGTCAGCTTTTCGCTTTTATTGCCAATAGGAGCACTCCGGTAGGCTACTACGTCTCCATTTTCCAAAATTTCCCGATTTCCACCAAACATTCGTTCATTTTGGTATCGAATTAGTCTATGTGAATTTTTTCAGATTTTTAAAAGGCGAAATAAAAATTTTCATTTCCCCATCTAAGACTTCCATACGATATAATCCCCGAGCCATCTTCGGACGGCCGAAAGTGCTAGAAAACGGCAGAAATCCTCGCAAAATATCGCTTTTCTAGTAGAAAATGACACGCTGAATAGAATGAGACCATAATCAGCCCGATAGGACAGATAGTTTTTGAGATATCGGCGCTCAAAGTCAGCTTTTCGTTTTTTTTGCTAATAGGAGTACTCCGGTAGGCTACTACGTCACCATTTTTCAAAATTGCCCAATTTCCACCACAGATTCGTTCAATACGACATCCAATTAGTCTATGTGAATTTTTTCAGATTTTTCATAGGCCAAATAAAAATTTTCATTTTCCCACCTAAGACTTCCATACGATATTGTCACCGAGCCATTTTCGGACGGCCGAAAGTGCCAGAAAACGGCGGAAATCCACGCGAATTATCGCTTTTTCAGTAGAAAATGACACGCTGAATCGAATGAGACCATAATCAGCCCGATAGGACAGATAGTTTTTGAGATATCGGCGCTCAAAGTCAGCTTTTCGCTTTTATTGCTAATAGGAGCACTCCGGTAGGCTACTACGTCTCCATTTTCCAAAATACCCCGATTTCCACCACAGATTCGTTCATTACGACATCGACTTAGTTCATGTGAATTTTTTCAGACTTTTAATAGGCGAAATAAAAATTTTCATTTCCCCATCTAAGACTTCTATACGATATAATCCCCGAGCCATCTTCCGACGGCCGAAAGTGCTAGAAAACGGCAGAAATCCTCAAAAATTATCGCTTTTCTAGTAGAAAATGATACGCTGAATCGAATGAGACCATAATCAGCCCGATAGGACAAATAGTTTTTGAGATATCGGCGCTCAAAGTCAAGTTTTCGCTTTTATTGCCAATAGGAGCACTCCGGTAGGCTACTACGTCTCCATTTCCCAAAATTTCCCGATTTCCACCACAGATTCGTCCATTTCGACATTGAATTAGTCTATGTGAATTTTTCCAGATTCTTAATAGACCAAATACAAATTTTCATTTTCCCACCGGGGTGTTCAATTTGAAATATCAAAGCTGCTACAACTTCTTTTTATAAGCAGCAAAGTTGCATTGCTGAAAATATTTTAGATCGACAGACCAAGAGCAACTATAATTGAGTAACAAATAAATTTTCAGAATGACCTCATGTCCCGTTCTCCGTAAACGTCTAAAAGGTACCATCCACCGTGACCCACCGTGTATATTTATATGATATGATGTAGTGAAATTGTAGAGCTAATTATGGGACGATTTATTACCATACTCCCATATGCTGTGTTCGGTCAAAGCTCGCAGAGTCACAGATCAATGATTGAGAAGAACAAACAATTTGGGATTGGGATAATGAAATCAGACTGAAATCAGCCTAAAATCATGTGATGAGTCTCTTATCGAAATTCGTGAGAGCTTTGCTTCCTGCAGAGTTGTAGCAGTGTGTCTCTCTGTAACATAGACGTAGGAGTCTGTGTGCAACTTACTCGCAAGGTACGATTGTTGTACAATCTACCCATACACCTTTGCACTACTTATACACCTTCGTACTTTAGCCACTAGATGGCTCTGAAGGCTAGATCACCCCTCTGCCCCTCTCATGCTTCGATCTTCAGTATTTATTTCCCGTAGGCCTGAAGACTGCTCTCATCGAAGCCGATGATTTCGCCAGCGGTACTTCCAGTCGCAGCACCAAGCTCATCCACGGCGGAGTCAGGTACTTGCAGAAGGCCATCATGCAGCTGGACTACGAACAGTACAGAATGGTGAAAGAGGCCTTGCACGAGCGGTCGGCCATGTTGAATCAAGCGCCGCATCTCGCGCATCCCCTACCCATAATGCTGCCGGTGTACCAGTGAGTAGTAGTGTCCCTTGACCGGTTCTAGGCCCAAGGTGACTGCTTTACTGATTGGCCAATGGCTGCTCGGGAATTGAAGGGGCGGAGCCTAAGAGAATATCAAAAATATTTTCCAGAGCCATTGCGCCGCTGAAAATCATACGATTTTGAAAAACGACCAGTTAATGAGATGACTCTTCAGATACTATGAGTAGGTTTCGATCATTATTTTTTCAAATTTAAGCTGTGACGTCAGGAACTGTCAACTATTTTCTTGTACTTCTTTCAGATTGTCTGATCACAGTTTGATCCTGAAGAACCAGTTATGACTTATGAATTTTGAATCCATATTGAATCGACTCGTGGCTTCTTAATTTTGGTTGCGCAGAAGACTTAAACGTCAATGTCATTTGTGGTCGAGTCAATGAATAGCAAAAAATCTGAAGGGTATCTCCCATGCAGTGATGAATTTGTGCCTTCGAAGTGCCCACCTGATGTTAGGTTAGATATTTGTCATTTTCATTTCATTATCAGAGACTCACGAATCCCAGAAGATGCATTCTAACAATCAATATCCAAGGTACCGATGTATAGATTCCATGTCTGGTTGTTGAATATTTTGTCTCCAAGGACAATCTGATGCGCGTGGCATTGCGCAGTAAACAAACGAGGGTAACAAACATCAAATGTACTGACACTGAGTGCGACTACTGGATCTGGTATTCTAATTCAAGTTGGCACCTGTCAAATTGCATGCGATGTACTGATGGAAATTAACGAGTGAAAACTGTGAAGTCTTTTGGAATTTTGAAAGAAACGTCATGTTTATCAACGGATCGATGATATGCCATCAGATAGTCGCCTTCAGCAATTATATGGGTCTAGAACCGGACTACCTACACTACTAAGCGTTAATGAATCAATGAAACTCGACCTATTCATCCTAATCACCGCTTCACTATCACTACAATATATGTTTTAGATGGTGGCAAGTACCTTATTTCTGGTTCGGCATCAAAATGTATGATATAGTAGCAGGTGCCAAGACCTTGAAAAATTCGTATTTCTTGTCGAAGAAAAATGCTCTTGAGCTCTTTCCCATGCTGAGAGGTGACAAACTTTGTGGCGGAATAGTCTATTATGATGGTAAGTTCAGATCAATCGTTATGAGCGAAGCGGGGTCCTGTGTATGGTCTATGATCAGACGAAAAAATGAATACTTTTCCGGTTTTCAGGACAACAAGATGACGCTCGCATGAACCTCGCCATAGCTTTGACGGCGACCCGTCACGGCGCCACCATCGCCAATCACGTGAGCGTCACTGGTTTGATCAAAGAGAAAAAAGACGGCAAAGACGTCATCACCGGTGTGAACGTCAAAGACGAACTGACGGGAAAGAGTTGGAGCGTGCCTGCCAAGTGCGTCATCAACGCTACCGGGCCTTTCACCGATAGCATAAGGAAGATGGACGATCCCAAGGTCAGAGAGATATGCTCGCCCAGTAGCGGGGTCCACATCACATTACCAGGTCCATATGTATAGATTATTAATGTGATAAAAACGCTAAAAAACTCTGACTTCAGCAATTAATGAAAATAGTAGCATCTATTATTGTAACATTTGATTTATTATAGGGTATTATAGTCCAGAGCAAATGGGCCTCTTAGATCCAGCCACCAGCGACGGTAGGGTGATATTTTTCCTGCCCTGGCAAAAACACACCATCGCCGGTACTACGGATCTACCCTGCCAAGTCACACACAACCCCAAACCCACCGAAGACGAAATCATGTTCATCCTCGAGGAAGTCAAAAATTATCTCAACCCTGACGTAGAAGGTAAACATCTCCATTCATCTAGTTGGCAAAAAATTTCATTCGATGTTCTTTAATACTGTGGTTACATATTTTACCTGTCTGGCCAATATAAGGATCAGATCATATGTGTTTCTCTTCGGAGTTGACATAAAGATGATATTTTTTTAGTGAGGAGAGGAGACGTTCTGTCAGCATGGAGCGGTATAAGGCCGTTAGTGTCCGATCCCAACAAGCCCGATACTCAGTCGTTAGCTAGGAATCATATAGTGCACGTTAGTGATGCGGGTTTGGTCACCATAGCTGGTGGAAAATGGACGACCTACAGATCGATGGCCTCCGAGACAATCGACGCTGCAATCGAAGGTAAATTTTCCTAAGACAAACTCATCAAACTGTTTTCTATGGTAACTATTGTTCATCATCCGCTCGAAATCGTATAAGCTTTGTGATAACTTTACAATTCACAGTAGACTTGTTTTTCAGCTTGTAAGTTGACTCCTTCTTATGCTCGAAGCCAAACAGATGGTATTCTTCTCATCGGAGCGACAGATTGGACACCGACGATGTACATCCGTTTGGTCCAAGATTTTGGACTAGAGTGCGAAGTAGCTCAGCATCTGTCGAAATCCTACGGTGACAGAGCGTTCGCTGTGGCCAAAATGGCATCTCTTACAGGTAAACTCATCTTTTGTTATCAATATATGTTTCAGCATATTTTTTAGTTTGATAATGGGAGTAGACACGATTTCCATTCCATTTTTTAGTTAAGTAAATATATGTACTTTACGACTTATGACACAAATATTCAGAATTTACTAAGTTGTGCATGCCCAAAAAATGTTGTTCACTTTTTGGAAGCTGATGACATGTAGCTGACTGTTTTGAAGCTAACATTCACCTGTCCGATATGATATTCTCTTATCTTCTCAGCTTTGAACTATCATTTTTAGTCTGTGAGCAGTTCTCCTTAACGAGTGGACTCAACCAAAATTATCATTACGAGAAAGATGGTGCACTTAGGAAGTAGAAGGTCGTTTCAAATTAGAACAGTTAACATTTCGGCACATGAAATCGAAATATCTTAATCAAGAAGAAACCCTGTTTTATCGAGTTTTTCAGACACGTACTGGTAACTGTCACTTTTTGCGAACTGTATATTTCGTTTCTGTAGTAGGCTAACAAAGAAGACGTGGGGCTTCACACTCCTGTATGAATTTTGTGGGCCACCCCATTTAGTTGGATTTTTGACCTGTTGATGAAAATGATTGTTAATTCAATTTCCAAAATCTTCTGTCCCACAATCTCTTTCACAACTTCTATAGACCCTTTCAAAGAAACTGAAGTAACGTTCTTTCATACGCTCTATCGAAATTCTCTTAGGCTCCGCCCACTGCAATATCCTTGGAAGTAAGCGCTGATTGGCTATATACCTACAGGTGATTGGGGCAATTTGAATTGTTGAATCCTAATGAAATCTAACTCGAGATCATATGTTCTGATGGAATTGAAAATGACTAATTATCAAGGAATATATCAGGATTTTTTTCAGTTTTGATATTATTTTCAGGTAAGAGATGGCCCATTATTGGTAAGAAACTCCATCCAGAATTTCCGTACATCGACGCAGAAGTCAGGTACGGGGTCAGAGAGTACGCTATCACGGCCATCGACATGATAGCCAGACGATTGAGGTTAGCTTTCTTGAACGTCCAAGCGGCTCAAGAAGCTTTGCCAGACATCGTCGCCATCATGGCAGAAGAACTGGGTTGGTCAGAAGGTGAGATTCTTTTTATGGATCCGATCTTGGTGTTTTCGATAATATGTTAGATTTTAGTAGATAGACGAAAAGGGGTCTGGCACAATTCACCACCATTTTTCTTTTTCATTAGTAAATTCATTAGGGTTCGCTATACGATATTCTGATTCTCTTCCAATGTACAGTGTGTATAATTTTAAAACCATTATTGTTCTTCCTTTATACACCCAATTGGATGTTGTCATAAGTAATTTCGAGATGTCATGACGAGTGGTATTGCTGTACAGCAACCCAATTGAGTGAACAATGAAGGACATAATTATGAGAATATAGTCAGAATAGAGTGGTAATTTGCAAGACAATTTCACTTTCACGAATCATGGAAAGCATTTATCATAAATGATTTATAGCCATAATTATTTATTGTCAGATCCGGTTCGAAGGACCATGTACGATTTTTTTCTACAGAAATATGGGGGTGGTTTCCACTTGAAACAGCTAGTGTAGATGTCTAATATCGAAATTATGTATGATTGATATTTTAGTCCGACATTGAAGGTTATTTATTAATTTCTCAATCGTATAACAACACTATAGTATTCATGAAAACATTACGAACTGTGTATATGAAGGGCAAACAATGATGATAGTTATGAAATTATACACAGTGTGTCCCAAATTTTCGGAGCTTTTGCAAGATATCTTCGTTTTTTTATACAGTATGTTCCTGAATTTGAGTGACAAAAGCTAAAGAACAATATCTCTTGAGAATCATCTTCATCATTGTCGGTTACTTGTCCAGAAAGAAATAAATTCATAAAATATTGATGAAATCAGAATTTCCGTGAAAAATGTGTTTCCATCGTTATTTTTTCGGATTGTAGATGAGAAAAAGAGGCAGATGAAACTAGCCACGGAGTTCCTGCAAAACGAGATGGGACAAAGCGTAAACAGAGCCAGCAGAGACAAAATACCGATAAATCTCAGTAAAGAGGAGATCCAACTATACATCAAGAGGTTCCAGATCATCGACAAAGATCGCAAGGGATACGTTTCTATCAATGATATCAGGAGAAGTCTCAAGGTATTTTTTCTCATTCATTTTTTTCACCATCTAGGTTTTATTCATCAACAAAATGATAATATGCGGGGTGATTTTGAAATAAGTATATACAGGATGATCTATACAAGAATGCGAAGAATTTCGAAAACAGCAAAAATTTCTGCAGATCAAAACACAACACACGTCCTCTCGTAAAATGGAGTTACGATTGAAAAAATATCGAAAACACCATCTCTCCTACACCAATCATTCTGAATTTGCAAAAATTATCAAATTAAAATAGGATTCGACGTTGAGCGTTTTTTCCAAAAATTATATCTGTATCAATTACTTTACGAGACCACAGAACTCAAAGGACGCACTGGTATATACATACAAACCTTCTGTGTGATATATATGATTGTGAATTTCCCATGGAGATTCTAAAAATTGAATATCATATAAGTTGGTCTATTTAATTTTCCCGTTTGAATCAGGAAAATCGGTATTATAAATCAACCTGCACAGAAATGTAGTCAGACTAAGAATAAAAAAATCGAAACGAAAATTTAAAAAATTCTAGCTTGCTAGTTAGGAATAGTTGAATTGAGTTGATTTCCATAAACCAGTTTTTTACTATTTCTCAATATGTGTTTATTTTGATATCACCCTGTAAAGAACTGTACTAACCTTGCTTCATTTCAGTTGAGCTTATTAAACCTATTCATATAATAATTTGGAACTGGAAAAATATAACACTAGATTCACAATACTGACATTGGTAAAACCACCGCAAGAAAACAATAAAATGGTTAGAAAGACTTTATAATTTTGTTTTCAAATGAAATGATATATTTCTTGCCTTTTTTGCAACATCAAAAAAACTATTGTAAAAATTATCGAATTAGCCATGGAAAACGAAAGTCATTATTTACAATCAAAAATTATTCAAATAAAACTAAACCTAATTTAAACAAGACTAAATTATTTCAAGGCAATTTTGTGAATTCATTGTCAGCTGATGCAAGACAGACTCTTTTGGCTTGCCAAGCCTCATCAGTTGCCCTAGACCAGTTTATATTTTTCATTTGAATATGAATGACATTTATACAACGCGAACTCATCATCAATCATTGCCTATAGTTGAAGAGCATGATCTCCATACACAGGGTGCTTGACCATCACCGGGACTCGTATCACAACACTCACACACACACACCCCTTCACTTGACACGCATTTTCGAAATTTTCCAGGCCTTGGGCATAAAGCTCGACGACAACGAGATCCACACGCTCCTCAACGACATCAACGCCACCTACAACGGACAAATGGAACTGTCCGACTATCTGCAAGTAAGTTGAAGACGGCAACATCGCTAACCATCGGTTTTTCTCTTTTCTTTACAGCAACACGGCGAGAAAGAGGTGGCCGGTGAGGAGCTGCACGAGATCCTCAAAGAGATCGACACTAACATGAACGGTCAAGTTGAGCTCGACGAGTATTTGCAGGTTTGTCGAAAACCTTTCGAGATTCGCACTGCAGCTTTTCATTTTATTTTACTTTATTTTTGTTGTGATTTTGCTGCACGCTTATCGAATAAACCACGTAAAAAGCAGTTACGAGTGAGCATAGGCAATAATAGGAAGGGTTTATGGGTGTTTGAGAGTGTTTATGAGTGCCTAACAGTGCTTATGTACATTTTTCAATTGTTTTTCAATTTGTCTGCTATATAACCAATGAGGATATCACGTAATTTAGAAATTAATCATTTGACCCGTGTTAACGAGTTTCTATGAGCTATGATTAGTTTATGGGTATTTGAGAGTGTTTATATGTGTTTAAGTGCTTCTGCATTTTTTTCCCGCGGGGTAAATGAAGAAAGCACGCATTAATGAGCAAAGAGTGATGAGCAATAATTTGTTTGAGAGTGTTTATGAGTGCCCAAGAGTGTTTATTGACATTTTTCATTTTTTTCAATTTGCAATCGTATAATGAACTTATTCTCAAAATTGATCATTTGATTCGTGTTAACGAGTGTCTATGAGCTATGATTCATGGAATTCATAGGGAATTTATGGGTATTTGAGAGTGTTTATGTGCTTATGTACATTTTTTGCTGCGTGGCAAATGGAAAAACCACGCGAAAATCAGTCACGAGTGAGCATAGGCAATAATTTGAAGAGTTTACTGTTTATGATAAATCAGGATATTACGTAATAGCGAAATTGATCATTTGACTCGTGATTGCGAGTGTTCATGAGGGTTTCTGTAAGTGTTTGAGAGTATTAATGAGTATTCAAGAGCTTATGGATATTTGCTTCTACTGCTTGCTGAATGGGGAAACCACGTAGAAGTCCGTGTGTTTGTAATTACGAGTGATGATGTCAATAATTTAGGTGTGATTGGTGTTTTTCAATTTGTTTGGGTACCGTCATTCGGGGTGAAGTCGGACTGTGGGGGTGAACTCGGACCGACAGGTATTGGCCGGTGTGTTTTACAATGTCGTTTGTCTAGACGTGCAAAAAATCCACCGACCGGTTTATTCCTCTCAGTTTAGCTCGAGTGACATTGGGAGAGGTGCGTTTCTGCTAGACAAATTCGCCGTAGAGTACGTGGTAAGGATTTTATAAATTTTATTTTCTTCTAAGAATTTGGAAACCAAAAAAGAAACTGTTGGGCACTAGAGAATACTGAAACTATATACTTCAAATGAGCTATTATTTGTTATGTGCTCTATTATTAGTAAACCCATGGCAATTTGCTAAAAAAATATTTATTTTTTTCTTAAATAATGGCGTTTTAGTAAAAAATGTCATTTTATAGGGGGGAAGGCGGACACTATGGTGAGGTGCTATAGGAAGAAAATCGGCATTAATTTCAAAAATTGCAATGAAGAAAACATCGCTAGGGCACTGGAAGATATCAGACAAGGCAGAAAAAGTATAAGACAAGCTGCTGAGTATTATGGGGTGCCCAAATCCACGTTACATGACAAGAAAAAGGGAATAAAAACGAAAAATTGCCGAATATTTTTTATATCCAATAGTTAAAGATGAAAGCCGCATAGATAAAGAACAAATCGTGAAATTTTTGAAAAAAATCAAAGATTTAAGGCGCCAAAGATTTAATTTCCCAGAGATGTCTTCGTTAAAAAATATTAAAATAGAGTAACGTTGTTGATGTTTTTTACAAGAGCCAAAAATATTTTTAAGTGTTGATAACAATGTTTATTAGTTATTCAGTTGATAAGAGTTGACGTTTTTTTTTATATAAATTTACACAGTTTGTGTTTTGTTCTGTAAATTCATATGTTTTTCAAGAATAAAATATTTTAATTTGCATCTTTGCATTTTTTTTACCTACAATTCATAAAATTCTGCTATGAATATTATTCCTTTTATTTTTTTTGTCCGAATACACCCCTTACCAGGAGCTAAGACAATGTTTAATGCTAAATAAATGATCGTCCGCTAACACCCCACACGTTGGGGTGATGGCGGACACACTTCATCTGAAAAAAAAGGGAGGGGGATGCAAATGTCATTACTTTCACTCTGTAAATTGACAAAGGAGACATGGAAGCTTCTTAATTATTTTTTTGGGATTTTATTTTTTTAAATTGTAGATTTTATCAACAAAAAACTGCAAAAATCGTCCGACTTCACCCCGAATGACGGTACATGATGAATCAGGATATTACGTAATTTCGAAATTGATCATTGGAATCGAGATACTCAGTGATTATCAGCTATTATTTATGGAATTCATAAGGAAGCTATAGGTGTTTGAGAGTATTCATGAGTGTTCAAGTGCTCATGAACATATTCTTTTTTTGTTTGTTTCATGATCAAGGAGGCCGGATATCACGCATTTTTGAAATTATTCATCTACTTGTGATTATAAGCCATGATTTGAGAGGAGTTTATTGGTGCTCGAGAGTGTCTTTGTGAGATTGAAAAATAATGCTCATGGACGCTGTTTTTTTCTTTCTTCATATCATGATGAATTTTTCATTGTACTCGTAATAACTAGCGAGTCATGGGGTGTTCGAAATAGTGTTTATATGGGTGTTCAAGAGTGTTTATAGGTCTTCATGAGTGCTTATCATTGGTGTTAGGAAGAGTTACAGGGCCTTTGAGAGTGTTTATCGTTGTCTACAAGTTATCAAGAGTGTATATGAATATTTTCCTCAATTGGTTCAGATATAGTATTTTTTCAGTAATTAGTGTTGAAGTTTGAAGCATGACCACTAACTACACACATTTAACAAACTAAATACTTATATTTCCCAACAAACAATTTTGTACGTGATAAGACCCGATAAAATACAACACACACCAACAAAACAACCCATCAAGTCTGTTTGTCCGCCCCTCCCTCCAACTCCCTAGTTATCTCCTCCTGCAGCCGCATATGGTCCTTGAGCACCAAATCCTCCACAGTAGCCCCTTCCTCTTCTGGCTCCTCAAACGCCCTCTCCTTATCCAAAGCCTGATATATCTCCGCTCTGTCCTCCAAAATCTCCCTCACAATATCAGTGAGGATATCTCGACTGCTCACCATCTCCTGCATGCCTGAAGACACTTCTTTTATCAACCAAGGCATGAAGTCTTCGTCCAAGTCTTTCCTGATGGAGTCCATGAGGTAACCTTCGGACTCTAGCCCAGACAGAACCGAAGGTAATAAGTCAGCCATGTAGCCTTGCATGAGGACAGCCCCAGCAATCCGCTCCTCCATTTCCTTCTGCGTTTGCAACCCCTGCTGACTTTCCTGGATCCTCCGCTCTTTCTCCTTGGTCAACCGCTTCTCCCTTTCTTCCAGCCTCAAGGCTTCCGCTGTCTCAGCAGCCCTGATTTCCAGGAACCTGCGTCTCTCTTCTCTCAGCGCTGCAAGCTCCTCCTCTTCCAGTACTTCTATGAGAGCCTGCTCTATGGTTTTGCCCACCAGGACCTCCAGGATAGGCTGCACTTCCAAATCAAAGTCAAAGAGATCACCAGGATAGATCTGGGTTTCCCTGTCAGCGCCAGTTTTGGCTGGGACGTAGAAGGGTGACACAGGGCGTTCGAGGAACAGGTCCGTTTGGGTGCAGGTGTCTTTAACAGGAGGATTGACGAACAGCTCCTCCAGATAGATCTCGGTTTGGACTCGTTCGTGCTTCCTTCCTGTCACAGCTGGTGGGGAACCGAGCCTCAGATGGGTGGCCTTGATCTGTTGGTTCTTGGCCTTGGACCTGGCGGCTCTTCTGCGCTTAGCTTCGGCTGCTCTGGCAGCTGAAGCTTCGCCGTCTCCGTGGCACTGGTTGGGGGCGAAGTTGCTGCCTCTGAAGACGCGCTTCTCGAACATGATGTTGGAGTAGGGTAAGGAGTTGTCGTTGCTCGACACCATTTTTCTGTTGTTGTACAAGGCTCTAGGCGAGCTGGAGAAGGTGTATTCGTTTTTGGTGAGCTTGGCGGCGCTGGCGGTGCTTTGGGTGTCTATTTCCAGGTTGTCTTTGGATTGGAGCTTTTGCCGCCTGAGGATTGGTTTGTCTTCAAGGGTCATTTTTGGTTCGGGGGGATGGTTGGTGCTTGATGAAAATTAGTTCCTGCTTTGGTCAGATATGTTTGTCACTTTTTGACATGGTGGTGATGTACAAGGCGTTTTCGTCGCTCTGGCCACGCGGATTTTCGTCTTTTTCTCTTCATTTATCCGGGTTTTATAATTTCTTCACCAAAGCACTTGGCACTTATAGGTACACTGGTTGCAATGCACTTTCCACTAATGTTTCAGTTGTAGTTTCACTGATTCTGGTCTCATTAGAAGATTACTTTGACTGTTTGATCAATACTCCAATGGAATTTGCTTCTTTCTACTTATTAATTCGTAGGTTTCATTAGGAGTTTTTTTTTTCATGGAATTAGATGAGCTCGTTACAATTCTCACTTCAAACATAGTATTGTTGTTATCAATACGATTTTGTTGACCATAATAATGACAAGCACTTGAAAGACAGTTTGATCAATACAGTAGAATTGTACTTAGCAACGACCTTGAAAATGTAAATATTGTTTTAGAAGTTGACCCAGATTTGTCTTATGGGAATTTTATATACAGGGGAGAATAAAATTCTGAGACTAGAATATGATCTAGCCCTATTTATTTCACACAACGATTTGTGTTGCAGATGATGTCGGCTATCAAGTCTGGTCACGTGACTTATTCGAGATTCGCCAGGATGGCGGAATTGGAGGAGATCAAACACGAATCGGAAATGTTGAAGAAGAAAATTACCGTGGAACGCAGCGGAGGTGGATTGTGAATAATGAAAAAAAAAATGCGATTCAACAGGTATTTTGTACCCGAAAATCATGGAATTATCAGGTCAATCAAAAAATGCTACTCCTGCCATTATATTTTACAATTTCACCTACTGTTTCGTTGGAAATAATCGGGTTTTTAGATATTTATTTTTGTTTTTTCGTCGAAAACATTTTACACATAGTATTTGCGTGAATGGTTTATTTCACAATTCAATGTATATATATATTTAAAAATATTTATTTATTGATTCCATTGCACATTTTGAAGAAGACATAAATTAATATAGGTAATAATTTCAAACCATATTGTTTTCTTGGAAAATTGATTAAAATGTAAAAAGAAAACACTTGAAGTAATAGAATAATTTATTAATTTGAAAACAGAGTGTGAGTATATAACAAATAAATAAACATAGTATTCCACAATACCTTTGGTCCCTATACACAATCCTAAAGTCTCGCCAGTCAGTATACAGGGTGACCTAAACTGGTTGTCCACAAACAAGTTATCAATGACTATCAATTGAATTTCTCTATTAGGTTTTTAGTAGTGTCATTCCTGAAAGAAGTGACATCTTGGGGCAAATCTGATTGGTCCTTATAATATTATTTTTATTCACAAAGACAAAGAGAGAAAATCCCAACAAATTTAGATAAATTAACTATAATAGTTATGTGTTTCGGTGTCACAACTTCTCAAATTTAAGAACGGGAATGTTAACTTGAATATTTTCTAGGGTGGGCAAACAATTTAGGACAACCTGTACCAGAAGACGAGTTGTAAAGTACTTCCCCATTTAACTCTCATATCTTCGACAGTATAAAAAATAAGAACGGCCTTAGAGGGGCTCATTTTGCCTTTTCAAATTGACCGCAGCAAAAAGTGCATACATTTTAAGTAAGACGCCCTATACAGGGTGATTCACGGTGGATGGCATATTAGAGGTATCTGGAGAACTAAAAGACAGAACATTCTGAAAATTAGGATGCTTCGATAATTGAACATTCTCTATTCGTCCAAAATACTTTCATCGAGACAGTGTTGCCACTTCTATCAGAAACAGTTAGCAACTTTGTTATTTCAAATGGAACACCCTGTATTTTATTACATTTTCAGATTCTTTCTGTAGAGCTGATTTCATCAATATATCACACTTGGGTTCTAGCAGGAATGATTACAGAGATATAGGGTGTTCAAAATCAGGATTTTTCAATGTTAAGATTTTTTTGTGTCGAAACTATTCATTTTCGATCAAAACGGTTCACATGTCCCTATCTTAACTTTCGATTCACTGTCTACTGACATTTGATTGGAACAGATACAGGGTGATCAGAATTCTGAATCTTGAAGCACCCTGTATTTTTTCCAATTAAATTCCAGTGGACAGTGAATCAAAAGTTAAGATAGGGACATGTAAGCCGTTTTCATCGATAATGAATAGTTTCGACACAAAAAAATATTAAAATTGAAAAATCTCGATTTTGAACACCCTATATCTCTGTAATCATTCTTGCTAGACCCCAAGTGTGATACATTGATGAAATCAGCTCTTCAGGAAGAATCTGAAAATGCAATAAAATACAGGGTGTTCCATTAGAAATAACAAAGTTGCTGGTTGTTTCTAATAGAAGTGGCAACACTGTATCGATGAAAATATTTTAAACGGATAGAGAATGTTCAATTATCGAAGGATCCCAATTTTCAGAATGTTCTGTCTTTTCGTTCTCCAGATACTTCTAATAGGCCATCCACCGTGGATCACCCTGTATATTTTCTTAGCATTTTCCTTTCGACCTTTCGAAGATCTTTCCGAAAATACCAATCAATATTATGTGCATTCAAACAGAATTTGATAAGATTTTCCATCTGAAAAATACGTAAGAGAAAATTAAGTGGGGTATTTTCGGAGACCTCTTCAAAATATCTATACAAGGGAGGGGAAATATATAGGCTACTATTTAGAATGCATCCACTTCTCGCTGCTTTCTGTATATTGATTTGAGAAGGAAAAACGAATTCCCGTAAGGATGGTCTCCATTTTTTCTCCAGTCAAATATACAGGGTGGGCCACCAGTAACGCCTCGGTCTCTAGAAGGCTAACCACTTATCTTCTTGGAATTCTTCCTCTCTAGGAAGTTGCATGTCAACATAGGCTATCATTTGAAATTATTTCGAAACATACAGGGTGTCCCCAAAAACCATAAAACACTGAAGTTAAACTTTTTTCTATCGAACACCCTATATATTATTTCATTTTGAGATTCTCCCTGATGGGCTGATTTCAACAACCTATCATACTTGGGGTCTAGCAGTTATAATTACTAAAATATAGGGTGTGAAAAATCGAGATTTTCCAAGTTCAAGAATTTTTTGTGTCGAAACCATTCATAATTGGTCAAAACGGCTCACATGTCCCTATCTCAACTTTTGATCAACTATCTACTGACATTTAATTGAAACAAATACAGGGTGGTGCAGAATTCAGAATTTTGATCACCCGGTATATGTCCCAATTAAATATCAGTAGATAGTTAATCAAAAGTTGAGATAGGGACATGTGAGCCGTTTTGACCAATTATGAATGGTTAAGACACAAAAAATTCTTGAACTTGGAAAATCTCGATTTCTCACACCCTATATCTCAGTAATTATAACTGCTAGACCCCAAGTATGATGGATTGTTGAAATCAGCTCACCAGGGAGAATCTCAAAATGAAATAATATATGGGGTGTTCGATTGAAAAAAGTTCAACTTCAGTGTTTTGTGATTTTTGGGGACATCCTGTATGTTTCAAAATAATTTCAAATGGTAGCCTATGTTGACATGCAACTTCCTAGAGAGGAAGAATTCCAAGAAGATAAGTGGTTAGCCTTCTAGAGACCGAGGCGTTACTGGTGGCCCACCCTGTATATAAGAGAAATAAAAGGGATAACACTTTATAACACGTCACCCAGTATATAAACAGCAAAATAAGTAGTTATGACTATCACAAGTGTGTACTCGGAAGAAAAATTGACAATATAAGATATAAGCGATAAAACGTTCATACATTACTATGAAATGAATCATATATAAAATAAATAATTACACATGTCCTAAAAGTACTAGATTAGTCTATGACATTGAGCTTCATACACATTTTTGACTAAATAAATGGAATATTTACAAACGAAATACAACACACCAAAATCTCCCCCAAAGTACAGGATGCCCCTCCCCCCTACACAACCCCACGTAAGTTTCAACACCCCTCAACCCTTTTTTACCTCCGAAAATACCTCTGGTCCAAAAAACAGCCACTAAAGACCTCACCTGAGACTCCTTCAAAGCCACGACATCAGGTTTGGCTACCTCCTGAATATGGCAATCAAATCCGGTCGACTAGGTGGCCGAATCACGATGGTTCTCTCCGTAAACTTGTGTGAGTCAATATGCTCCAGGCTTGCCCAAAAAGGCATTTGGTAGTTGGTTGTGAAGCTATCTTTCTTCCTAGTGTGCCTCGTCAAGATTCTATAGCTGCACCACCAGTTTTTGACATGTCGAAAATTCAAAGGCTGCGGAGCGAAGCCTTCGGTGCTGATGCAGCTGAACGTCTTCCTACAACCTGCTGCCGTCGCGTGGTTGATGAATCTTTGGTCGTCGATGGTTTCTAAAGGCAACAGATTCAAGCTTTGACACCTCTCAACCCTTTCTTCCCACCGAAATTCCTGATGGCGGACAACAGCTGGTCCCTCTGGTCCACCACAGGTTCCAAAGGCCTCACCGCAGGCTTTTTCAAAACCACCTTAGGCATCGTGGGAGGCGGCGGCGGTCTCACGACATCAGGTTTGCTCGGCGGGGTCCTGCTGCTGTTCTCCAGCACCAAATCCGGTCGACTAGGTGGCTGGACCTCTTCGTTGGTTCTATCAACGAACTTGTTGGAGTCGGTGCGTCTGAGAGTGGCTTGACCGAAAGGCACTTGGCTGTTGGTGACGAAGCTGTCTTTCTCCTTAGCTTGTCCTGGTAAGGTTCCATAGCTGCTCCACCTGTTGTTCCAGGAGTTGTTGGTGCTGAAGCCTCTGACCACAGGAGCTTGCCACTTGTTGGGTACCTTTGGGGGTTCTTCCTTGTGGATTTGCGTGACTGAGGTGCTCTTGAGGGGCTTCTTGAGCTCCACTGATCTGACGACAGGTACTCGGGAAATATCGAAGTCAGAGTCGAAGGCTATGGAGTGAGGTCTCTGGTTGCTGAGGCTGCCGAATGGTTTCCTGTAGCCTGCTGCTGTCGTGTGGTTGATGAATCTTTGGTTGTCGATGGTTTTCGGTGGCTGTGAGTTGAAAGCTCCGATTTTGATGACGACGTTTCCTGGAGCAGCAGGTTCGGTGGTACCGTTCACTTTGACGCTGACCTGAGGTTAGGAAAATTGCAGATTAAGTTATGGAATGAAATATATGAAATTCGCTCAAATTTCATGAAATTACTGAAATTCATGATTCTTATTGAAAATATCAAGGCTTATTCCTACTAGAGTCACTGGATGGTATAAGTTTATTCCCACTAAGCAAAGTTACATTTACAAATTCACATTTGCAATATTGTGTCATGTAATAGCAGGCAATACCAACTTTCTTATTTCAAATGCAACAATCTGTATCGAGGATAATTGAAGCTCTTGTGGTATTATAAGTGAACATTTTCAAAAGTTTCTCTTCCACGGCTGAATGAAATATTTCGATTTCGAAAATTTCAATCTACCCAACCCTATATCCTTACCCCTTGTTGTTTGTCTCTGACCTCTATGGAGTTGTTGCTGGTGATGTTGTTGTTTGTGGTGCTGACTATGAGCTTCGAGGTGATGTTGTTGTTGGTTCCCGAGGTGTAATCTTCGTCTTCAGCGACGCTAACAGGTACTTTCGGTCTCTCGGACCAGGTGCTCATGTTGATGGCTGGCGGACCGGAGTATTTGTAGATTTTTTCCGGTGCTGGGGGTTTGAGGGGTGCGGGTTCTTGTGATGGGGGTTGTTTTTGTGGTGGGGGTTGTTTTTGCGGGGGTTCTTTGGGTGGATCGGGCTTGGGGAGAGGTTTTTGGGTCTTGTCTTGCGGTGCTAGGTTCTCCATTGACGAGGTGGGGGTGTTGAGTTTGTTTTGAATCAGCCTCATGACCTGAAAATGAAGGTAAAAGAATTATAGTAACAATCGTTTTCAATCCATAATTCTAAGGTCTGTAGCTATAAATATAATTTCAAGGTCGACTATACACCGTGTCCAAGATAAGAATGTATATCATGGGGATTTCATCTCGGAAACTATAAGAAATACGAAGATAGTTGAAATAAAGAAAAGTTGTGCATTTTCAAGCCTAACAATATGTCTTTTAGAATGTTCCAAAATTCCCAGTAGTTCTGGAGATATGCCTAAAAAACCAGAATTTGCGGATTTCTCATCCATTTCTTCAGTTCAGACGTTATTTGAAGAGATATATAGTAAATCAAAATACACTCTCTCATTGCCACTTTTTGCGCTGTACAAATCAGCGTTGAGATATTTTTTGTACAAGATGTAACTCTTATTCCTATCCAGAGAAACGTTACATATGGCGCAGTCGGTAGGATACTCTATTCAGAGAAAGGTTACACAAGACATCCTTATATCTTCGACACAGTGTATAAAAAAATGAAAAAAAAAACTTTTTTCCACCACTAGCTATAAAACCAACCATTTTTCACTCTCTTTCGAGGCGTACCTAAAGTATGTTTTTACTACCAATTTCCTTCTCGTCATTCTATGAACCACTAGAAAATAAATAAAAAGCCACCTCTGTTGTAATCAACCTAAATTCAATGTTATATGATGCGATATTCGCAGAAATGACACTCGAATCTAGTAGGTATATTTATCAATAACGATTTGTCATATAGGTACTGTCATGGTCATTGCTACTAGATTTCAATTAGAATTGAAAAGAAGTTCGTTCGTTCATAGTGACAATAGGTCCATATTTTAGTTTCACTGAACTAAAATGATTGATATGAATAATTGCTAGTGGTGAAAAAATTGTATACAGGGTGAGTCATTAGTGTGGCAAAGTGAGATAACGGCTTTACTGTTTGAGATAGATGACCAAAAATTTCAGAGATGATCTAGGATCAAGAGCAGCACATTTCCAAATCATTTCGTTTTATACAGGGTGACTCAGAAATGCGTGGCGTATCAGAGTTATACTTTTTCTTATGGGACACCCTGTATTTCATTGCATTTCCGCATTCTCCTTTGTGAGCTGATTTCATCAATGCATCACACTTGTGGTCTAGCGAGAATGATCGGAGGTATAGGGTGTTCAAAATCGAGATTTTACAACTTTAGGATTTTTTTTTGCGACGAAACTATTCATTTTTGATCAAAACGGCTTGCATGTTCCTATTCCAACTTTTGATTTACTATCTACTGACATTTAATTGGAACAGATACAAGGGTGATCAGAATGCTGAATCTTGAACCACTCTGTATTTGTTCCAATTAAATGTCAGTAGATAGTAAATCAAAAGTTGAGATAGGGACATGGAAGCCGTTTTGACCAATAATGAATAGTTTCGACGCAAAATAATCCTAAAGTTGAAAAATCTCGATTTTGAACACCCTATATCTGTGTACTCATTCTCGCCAGACCCAAAGTATGATGCTCTGATGAAATCAGCTCACAAAGGAGAATGCGAAAATGCAATGAATTACAGGGTGTCCCATAAGAAAAAGTATATCTTTGATACGCCACGCATTTGTGAGACACCCTGTATGAAGCAAAATGATTTCGAAATGTACTGCTCATGATCCTAGATCATCTCTGAAATTTTTGTTCATCTATCTCAAATAGTAAAGCCGTTATCTCACTTTGCCACACTAATGACTCACCCTGTATAAGTACACCTTGACAGTAAAGAATATTATCATCACAGGACCCTAGGGTGTACTGATATTCTTTACCACTACTGTATAAATAACTATTAATCACATTATTGTCGCTTCTATGATCAAATATGAGAAATATTTTAAATTGAGGTTAGATTGAGGTTTTTTCAGTAACAGGTAGTTGTGGCTCAAAATTTATTTACTAAGTTTCTTAAATTACTCAAAGCTATAAAAAACTATGTACCTTCACAGTTTGCATTTCTTCACACATAATGTATGCTCTTTAGTGTGTCTCCGAATTATTTTGTGACTTGTTCAGTTGAAAGTTACGAACTAATGAATCATTACAATAATCATCATATCCGAGGAATGATAAGAATAATGATTTCTTATCACTACATGGTCATGAATGTTTCAACATAAGGTATTCGACAGAAAAATAAAGTATCTTGAATTTGCATAATATAATTCCAATTATTATACACGATTTAAAAAAAGAAATTGAGGGAATGAAGGAACAATAATTAAAAGAATGGCATTGCAGACTGAAACATTGAAAACACAAATTTCCACTTGGAAAAACTTTCAAAGAAACAAATATTTCATTAGTGAATCATCTACAGTGTGTCCACCTTGAGGACTTACCACCCCTGTAAAATTGTTATTATCTGACCGATTTCAAAAAACTTTTTTTTGTTGAATAGGTATTTGAAATGTCTATCCAACAAGAGAGTGATTTTACTCATGAACTGTAATCGTGGCCAACTGCGACCAACTTTATTGACCCATATTTGAGCTATTAGGGATTTTTTTTCACAAAAAACAATGATGGATTCTGAATGACGATCACTTGAAAACTACCTTTACTGATTCTTATCATCATAAAACACAGAGTGCCCGAAAAAACGAATTATGTTTTTTTTAATAGGTGATCAGAAAATGTAGTATTGTGGTATTTTTGAGAAGAATTGATGACACATTATTATTGAGGATCACTTTGAACATATCTGTACCGATTTTCATTATTCAAAAATACGATGTGTATGAGAAAACAATTAAAAAGGAAAAGTAGGCAATATTTTTTCATCAACTCAAAAAAAATATTAATTTGATTTTTCGAACATCCTGTGTTTAATGATGATGAGAATCGCTACAGGTATGTTCCAAGTGATTCTGATTCATCTTTTTATTATGAGTGAAGAATTATCAGGATGAAAAATATTGCTTACCTATCCTTTTTAATTTTTTTCTCAGACACATTGTATATTCAAATGACGAAAATTGGTACAGGTATATTTGAAATAATCCTCAATGATAATTTGTGATTATTTCTTTCTAGAAAAACCACAGGACTACATTTGCTGATCACCTATTTGAAGAAAATGATGATTCGTTTTTTCGGACACCCTGTGTTTTATGATGATGAAAATCGGTACAGGTATATTTCAAGTGTTACTGATTCAGAATCCATCATCAAGTTTCGTGGAAAAAATTCCCTAATAGTACTTTCTGGAATATGGGTCATTGAAATTTGTCGCAGTTGGCCACGATAACAGTCCAAGAATTAGATCACTCGCTCGTTGGATGGGCATTTCAAATACCTATCCAAGAAAAAAAAGGTTTTTTGAAATTGGTCGGATAATAATGATTTTACAGGGGTGGTAAGTCCTTAAGGTGGACACACTGTATATAAAGAAATGTACTTAAAGTTCTCAAACGATTCTGAATAGGTATTATTTTGATAAACATTTATTGCCTCATGAACAATAGGAGTATACAGAGTTGTTCAGTATCATAGTATTGACACCGAACATAAACAGAGTTTATGTACCGTCGAATGAGGTGGCTTCGGACGATTTTTACAGTTTTTTCGCTGTAACTTTTTGAAAAATCAATGTTTTGACACGAAATTTTCACGAAATGTAGCACTCATATAAATGAACCGATTCGTGGTATAAAACTTTTGTTTTCATTCTTAGGAATATTTTTTTTTTTATTTTGAAAAGTGTCCGAAGTTACCTGGATAGGTGTGGTGAATTCGGACACCCCTTCAAAAGCGCATGAAAACGACATCCAGCTTCATCAGACTCAACTTCGGACATGAATTCGAATTTTTAAAAAAATGGAACATCAAAAATTCAATTTTTTGTCCGAATTTATTTTATCTTAGGAAATTGACTTCGGACGCGCATTGTTGACGATAGGAAATTTATTTCTCGTCTCAACAAAAATAATTCGGACACAACATGAGGAAAATATTTTTTATTTGAAAAAGATTCTTTAAGATTAAAATAAATAGTAACATTCTTACAAAAATAAAATAGCATTCTGCCTAAAAAATAAACAAAAAAGTAGGAACTTACTTCATGTATCACAAAAAAACGAATGAAGCTATCCTATGACAATATCATTCAAATCACAAAATTTGTATTTTCCTCTTCTAAACTCAAGAAGCTAACTTGGAAGTGATCATCTCCCAATTGTGATAAAATTTGGGCAACATAAAGTTTATATTTCTTAGAATTGAATATAGGCACTTTGATTATTGCGAAATCATTTTTCTTCAAATTTTCTAAATCAGTCTTAGTAGAAATAGTTTCTACTCTCTCGTTAGTGTCCTCTTCTAACGATTCATTGGTACGATTGGTACGAACGTCCGCCAAGGATTTTTCTATAGGTCCGGCCCATGTCCGAAGTCTTCCGCAATAATGCTGATGTTCTGGTTATCGCCCTGTATAAAAAAATTCTATGAAAATTTCAAACAGATACATCATCAAAGCATTCTTTGAACATCACCCTTTGATTGAACATATGCCACTGAGCTCTACATTCAACACAAAAAGTGCTACAGCAGTTACTTTTTCACTTTTGAGAATTCGCAATAAAAATACGCTCATATAAATACCGACGTGAACAATTCTTCCTTACCTCTCTACGCAAACTACACTCTCGACCACCGGACTATACTAACAAGATTCAACCTGCAGAAGATTCACGTCTATCGCGATACCTGCTTCCGCGACATTCACGATTGAGAGCGAAAAGTACCGACTGTCCGAAATCACCGGTACCGTCCGAAGCCACCTCATTCGACGGTACTGGTAGTAGAAATACGCGTGAAAGTGGAAGACTAAATGGACCTGATCCAGGAAATGTTTAAAAAGGAATTCATGAATTCTACAATGAATTCGTTTTATAGTCGAACAAAAAATTCATTGATTCCTGTAGGTATTGATAGACAACTCACCCCTAAACTCTGCAGCCCAGACAAGTCGTAAAAACTGTTGCTCCTCGACACGCCATCCTCCTTATTCCCACCCCTACCGTCCACCCTGTACCGCGCCCCATCCAAAGTCACGTGCGACTTTGACCTCAACACGGGCTTCGAAGGCACACCAAGCTCCTTAGAAAACGATTCCGACCTGAAGACGCTCACAGAATGCTCGAAACGTTTCGCTACGGGCCTCGCGAAATCGTACTCTTCATTAGACCTCGTGGATTCCTCCCCGGCGCTGTTTTTCCTCATGGAAATGCTCTCCATGGATCTGCCGACGTAGGACCTTTGTAAGGTACTTCTGGGCCCTGGAGGTTTGTCGGTACTGCTTCTCACAGTGTCATCCTCGAACACCTTTATTTTCTGCTTGGGTCTGTCGTAAGTGGAAATCTTGAAGTTGGGGAGAACGTGGTTGGAGACCAGAGTTGTCTTCTGCACGAACTTTTGCTGCTGCTGCTGCTGCTGCTGCAATTCCGAGAAAGTAGCCTCGAACTTTGTCAAAGACCCTGAGAACGTATCCAGCCTTTTATCGTCCTCCATTTTCAAGCTAGTCAACTCCCTATTGTACACCAACGACCTCCTCTTCTCCAAGTTCTCCAAAGACAAGGTGTTGAGCAGAGGCACTTCCTCTTCGCTAACCACGCTGGTCAAATCGCTGGTTAACGTTCCTCTTTCCGATTGCACATCCTCCAAGGTTTTCAGCTTCTCGAACAGCTCCGGAGACGTCACCACGGAGTCTTTGAAGTCCGTCTCTATAACTTCCGCTGGGCTGCAGTCCCGGAAGGCTTTTGGAGGTGAAGGCAGCTGGTAGTGCCAATCCAGCTCATCGGCAGCTTCGTTCTGTCTCTCCACAGCTGCAGGAGCCACTGTAACTTCTGGAACTTCAATGGCTGCAGGAGCAACTTTAGCCTCTAGAGTTTCAGTTGCTGCTGGAGCTACTATAGCCTCTGGAGCTTCACTAGCTTCCTCTTCGAGGATATCTTCCTTGGTAACCTCAACAACCAATTCTATCGGTGGTGGAATCACTAAGTCTTCCGTGGGAGTTTTCCCGATGCTTTTTTCATCTGGTGGAGGGACGATATCTTCATCTAGGATTGGTGGGGGCGGTGTGGTGGTAACAAAAGCTTCTCCTTCGTTTTTTTCGTGGATTTCGGGTGCTATGCCACTATCCGTGGATCCGAAAGGTTTCGATTCTGAATTGGGGAGGATGTCGTTTGATGTGATGGATGGTAAGCTATCTAATGCTTGTTGTGAGGTTAGGGACGCTGAAAAACAAATGAGTATTTTCAATTGGCCAGTTGTTGTGTACAATAAGAAGATTTTTCGATACGTTTATTCTGAGAGGTGTTGAATTCAGTGGGTAATTTGAATTCAGTGGGTAATTTTGACTGTTAGATGAACTAAGCTTTAATTACTTCAAGACATTGATTATTTCACAAGATTTGAATATTATGAGTCAATATAAAGAAGTTCACATAATATATTCTAGGAAGTCACTCACAAGATACATACAAATTATGAGATAGGATGAGAATCATAAAATTGATTTACGGTACTCTCAGAATATACATTTCCACCACCAACATTTACTCAAGAACAACAAATACTCAATGAATTATACTAAATATCTCAATTTCATTTTCATAACTACATATCCCAAAAGGAACACGATACTACGAATCATTCTCAATTTATCAATCCTATCACTTCCAAAGTGAAGAAATTGAATGAATTTAATTTATTAAAAATTGAATGAATGACTTAAAATAAGTAGATATTCTGGATTGGAATTTTGATGAGGTATATAAGCTTTGAAAATGACTTTTGAAATGAACATGCCTGGTTCAGAATCACCAACAACCCATCCACCATTACTACTAGGCCCCAGAGATTGCACAGACTCGCTGTCTAGATCCTCTGAGTTGTTCCATTTCTTCAAACCGCCGCTCATGAAACCCGGCAGACTTCTCAAACTTGTCAGACTACTAACTGACTGGTTCTTCTCTAACTTAACCTCCTCCAGACCATGAATGCCAAACAGTTGATTGAAGACGTTATGGTCAGGCGAATTTTTTGTTTTTGACCTCAAAAACACAGTTTCATCCAAGTCGGAGAAATCGTCGACACAATTCAAAGAGCCCAAAGTTGAGGTTAGGGACGTGTTTGAAGACAAAGTACTCGACTTGTTTTCATTGCTATGTACGCTTCTCGAGTCCTCGTCAAAACTGGTCGTCAGCGAAGATAATACTTGTAGCCTCCTCTTGCCGAAAGTATCGAACTTTGACTGGCTAACTTTCTTTTCGGGCGTCTTTGGAATGACTCCTACGACTTCCGGAAGCTTTTTTTCTGGTGAAATGTTTGGTGCATTTGGTGATGCCGCCTCCAATTCAACTGAAGAAGCAGCAGGTTGAGGGTAATTCGAAACGCTCGGTGCATTGAGTAGTACCTCCTCTGTTTCTCCCAGGGAACCAACTGATTTACCTGACTTTACAGGTTTACATACAGCTTCACCTTCTGAATCATTGAGTAATACCGCCACCGACCCATTTGTAGATTCAGCTCCGAATACCTCTTTCTGATTGTTTCCTGATATTGTGGAAGAGAACAAGTTGTGCTGCAGTTGAGATTGCAGATTCTCTAGCTTTTTTTCAGGGGACGTTGGTTCTCTCAAGGTATTTTCTTTCTTCAAAGAGGCAACTGAATCTTCTTCTTTAACAACAATCTTTTCTTCCTCTTCTCTACTAGAATTTTCTTTCCTCAAAGAAGTATCCAATCTTTCGTCGGAACCCTTCGGTGCATCGTGTAACTCCTCCATCGACTCTTCAACGACAATTTCATCTACTTTTTCTACAGTTCTACTAATATCACTGGTTGTTCCAATAACTGCGGCGTTGCCAGTTCTGGGAACAGGTACCGGTGGCGCTCTGGTTTTGCCTCTGGGTAAAGGAACGGGGTTACTACTACGTGCAATAGAGAAGTCCTGTGGTGTACAGGGTGCGGCTGAGGGCATGCAAAATACAAAGCCAGATTAGAGAAAGATGGTTAGTTACCTTCTACCGGTGCTTTCATTTTCTGCTAGTTACAGCACCTCAACCGAAGGAAGCAAAGAAAATATGTACAGAAGGTGGGGAATGGTAGAGTGGGGTGGTTTCAAATTGGGTTCTATGATAACTTATTGATTTTGAGAAGCTGCTGCTATATGTGGCTTATCGAAATATCTTTGGACTTTAGGATTTTGTTGAATATAATTGTGTATTACAGTTAGAGATCCCATTTTATTCTCTAATGACTATACTGACAAGATTATAGATTACTTTTTATCGACAAACTATTAAATAATAGGCAGTGATGTTTTGTTGAATTGAAAATTCAGATAAGTTCTGTTCTTTTATTTACAATGATCCGATCCAATTTTGAAATGAACTCTTTCCAATTCTCATCATTCCCATTTCTTTCGATGAATTTATTGGAACTGGAAACTTTCTCAACTTTTTCCGTTGGCTCAGTTTCGTTCGAATCATACTCTGCATCGATTGGCCCGCTTCGGGATTGTTGATCATTGAAAATGATGCTGCAAATGCTATCTTCATTTGACGAAACACTATCAGAACTATCACTATCCACTGACAGAGCATCGTTGCCATTATTATTGACAACGACAATCTCCGTAGTGTCAGTATCGATAATTGTTTTGTCATCGATATAGTCAGAAATGCTATAACATTTTTCTGAGTCAGAACTAGAATTGCTGTCATCATCATTGATCACGGACTGTAAGAAATGCTGGTGATCTTTGCAAAGCTCATTTACTAGTTCTTCAGACCCAGAAGCTTTCTTGACAGACCAATCAGTATCATCATTGTAATTTTCACAATCATCACCATCATAATATTTCGTTTCTTCCCTATAAATCTGACCTAAAGTCATGGTGCTTTTAACCTTTATAGTGCTACTTCTTCCCCCGATGCATCTGCTGAAAACGCCTAATTTGAAACCACCCCTCATCCTATTTTTCTTTTTACCTTTGAGGAAATTCAAGGGATTTTTTAGGTTAGGGTAGCGGTCGAGAACAGTGCTGTGTTTAAAAGCGTTTTTTCGAGACTCACCTTCTATGGGCAGACTAGGTTGACTAGCTACTACAGGACTAGGGGCAGCTAGGTTTATGGAGGGGTTGGAAGCTCTGATAGCTGGAGGGGGTGGGGGTGCTGCTTTTTTCTTACGACCTGTAAAATAAATATCAATGATTTAGAACCGTGAATAGTTGTATTATACAGGGTCATTCAAAATTCGATGTAAATATGTCCAAAGACATATTGTTAGGATCGAAATAAGACTTTTTTTTATAAACGTGTCCTAAAATTACCCCTTCCGTGCTACAGCCACTGTAAGTCATCAGATAAAAAAAAGTTCTTCTGAAAATTGGCATGTCCCTGTTTTTTTAGACATTTTATTTTCTTCAGTGCAGTGATCAAGTGCAAGTATTCCAGTACGGCACGATTCTGAAATAGCAGTCTCGAATGCGTACCGACATACGATCACCTCCGTATGCAAGCGTTTAACCCATTGTGTTCGAATATCTTGACTTCCCCTTTCGTTGATCACGATTTTCTGGCAACGGTAGTTGTGTGGAAAAAATGATAGAGACCGAATTTTTACATTTTTTTATGGCCCACAAGATCATATTGTTCAAAGTCATAGTTTCTTTTAGTGAACATAAAATTTGGACATTAAGAGAAGTTCGAAATGTCATTTCCGTTGTCAGATTATAATATGTCACTTTCCATAAATAACTTTTTCCCACGGAAAAAGGTGAGTATTTTTCCCGGATATACAGGGTGGGCCACCAGTAACGCCTCGGTCTCTAGAAGGCTAACCACTTATCTTCTTGGAATTCTTCCTCTCTAGGAAGTTGCATGTCAACATAGGCTACCATTTAAAATCATTTCGAAACATACAGGGTGTCCCCAAAAACCATAAAACACTGAAGTTAAACTTTTTTCTATCGAACACCCTATATATTATTTCATTTTGAGATTCTCCCTGATGAGCTGATTTCAACGACCCATCATACTTGGGGTCTAGCAGTTATAATTACTGAAATATAGGGTGTGAAAAATCGAGATTTTCCAAGTTCAAGAAATTTTTGTGTGGAAACTATTCATATTTGGTCAAAACGGCTTACATGTCCCTATCTCAACTTTTAATTAACTATCTACTGATATTTAATTGGGACATATACCGGGTGATCAAGATTCTGAATACTGCACCACCCTGTGTTTGTTTCAATTAAATGTCAGTAGATAGTTGATCAAAAGTTGAGATAGGGACATGTGAGCCGTTTTGACCAATTATGAATTCTTGAACTTGGAATATCTCGATTTCTCACACCCTATATCTCAGTAATTATAACTGCTAGACCCCAAGTATGATGGATTGTTGAAATCAGCTCACCAGGGAGAGTCTCAAAATGAAATAATATACAGGGTGTTTCATAATTGAATGTCAATATTCGAGGAGGCGATTCTTGGGCTCATTCTAAGAAGAAAGTTTCATATGAACGTATGACCTAAACGTCCCAACTTTTGAGATACAGGGTGGTAAAATTCTCGAAAATTAATATAGCCTACTACAATGAGAAGTTATAATTCGAAAATACCAAATACGAATACAAAGTTCATGAACTATGAATTGTATTTCTGAAATTTGATCTTAAAAATAAAAACTATTTCTCTGCATTGTGATATTGTCATATTAACAATATTACTATAATCATGTAGTGAAAAGCTTTTTATTTTTAAGCGAAAACCGTGCATCAGATTGAAAAAATTGTAGTGATCAAATTTGCTTAGAAATGATCGGGAATTCCAGGAATGATTTCAATTTGGAGATTAATCAGTGGCGTACCATCAATGTCTGCCAAAATAGGTATGTGAAATTCCATACGAACGCCACTGGTGGCAACAACAAAAAATGTGGTACGCTAACTGATGCCTCTTGATACATAGTACATGTATGCCAAATTTCATCAGAATATCTGAAGTGGTATTACAGATATTAATAAAAAACTATTAATTTTTGAGAACTTTACCACCCTGTATCTCAAAAGTTAGGATGTTTAGGTCATACGTTCATATGAAACTTTCTTCTTAGAATGGGCCCAAGAATTGCGTCCCCAAATATTGACATTCAATTATGAAACACCCTGTATAGGGTGTTCGATAGAAAAAAGTTTAACTTCAGTGTTTTATTGTTTTTGGGGACAGCCTGTATGTTTCTGAATAATTTCAAATGGTAACCTATGTTGACATGCAACTTCCTAGAGAGGAAGAATTCCAAGAAGATAAGTGGTTAGCCTTCTAGAGACCGAGGCGTTACTGGTGGCCCACCCTGTATAGATAGATAGTTATTGAAAACTTGGGATTTTTTCGCATCTGAATTTTTTTTTACCTGCTCATAACACTAATTAGTACGTTCGTTCATCAGATTAAGTAACATCCTGTATTATTTCCACGATGCAATTTTTGTGAAAATTAGAGTATTCAAACACTTTTCACATTCACACAGCTCGCATCAATAGAAACAGACACTATCGTTCACTATCGTCTACTAATTACGTTAATATAACTTCCCACATAATTATCAGACACCACTCCCCAGTCCCCATAGAATCCACAAGAGATGTCACAATTTTTCGACTATTTCCAACCGAAATAGTGAAAGTGATTCACAAAAACACTTTCAGGCCACAGATAAACCTACTTTTATCAGGATTTACGATATTTCTTGCGGAATTTTTCGAGCTTGTGTGTTTTGTGTCGATTTCCTTCAAACTAGAGTGTTTCGAAGAACTGAACCAGATTTTGTAGTCGAACCCACATGTTTCTACCCACAAAAACATTCTTACTACCTATCATTAATGGAAATTGGTACCGTACGACCACGTTATTTTTTTCCTTGCGTATTATCGACATAAGTCAAATAATTGAGTGGTTTGCACAGATCTGCTTCAGTTTGATTACTTTTTATCAATGTCGTTTTCCGATTCATTTGAGCAGCGCTGTACAAGGTGGTTGGAATCAGAGCCTCATCATTGGTATCTCTTATGTGAAGAAATCAATTGTGATGAATAATGACATTTGATCGTGCATAACCACTTTTTCTTCCTTATAAGTTGGCGTTTTCAAATTCGAAATATGATGTTTCGTCTTCCAGAAACCATCATCAATTTATTTCTTTCGAATACGGACCATGATTTTTTGTTCATTTTTCTTTAGTTTCGGATAGCTCAGAAGCTATGAGATGTCACGAATTTCTATTTTTTAATGTTTCGTTTGAAAAATTTACAGTTTCATCATCAATTCATTCCTTTCAGATACGGACCTGGATTTTTTGTTTATTTTTTCTTATCTTCGAATAGCTCAGAAGCTATTAGATATCACGCATTAATATTTTCGAATGTTTCTTTTGGAAAATTCACAGTCTCAGTAGTGTACCTACCTGTGTATCAGGCCAAGATGGCCGCCGCCGGAAGTGACGTCACAACCGTTCCTGTGGTAAAACGTGTTGGCTGCACGGAAGTGACGTCACAAGATGGCCGCCGGAAGTGACACGTGACAGATGACATGTGACAGATGACATGTGACAGATGACATGTGACAGATGACATATGACAGATGACAAGTGACAGATGACATGGAGCACGGAACACAAGGAGTGACATATGACACGTGGAAGTACTCTGAACTTAGCCCTCTGGACTCTAGACTCTAGACCTATCGAATATTATAATCCATTTTTGAAAAAGAAACACTGGGAAATAAAAATTTGTGATATCTCATAGCTTTCGAGCTATCCGAAGGTAAGAGAAAATTAAATGGAAAAATCTAGGTCCGTATTTAAAAAAAAAACAAGTGGATGATTGTTGTAGGAATTGATGATAAACTGTCGAATTCATGAGAATTAATTCTCTCAAATAACCTCAGAAAGTTATATGAATACTTCCGAATAGTACCATTGAAAAAAATATAAGGAATGAAATACAATTTGGAGTGAGTGCTATATATACTTGATTTTTTCTTCAAGATTCAAGATTCAGAATTCTGATCACCCTGTATCTGTTCCAATGTCAATAGATGTCAGTAGATAGTGAATCATAATAGTTAAGATAGAGATAATAGTTTCGACACAAAAAACTACCAAAGTTGAAATATCTCGATTTTAAATACCCTACTTTACCCAAGTAGGAGACATTGTAAATCAGCTCTCCAAGAAGAATCTGAGAATGCAATGAAATATAGTTTGTTCCATTTGGAAAATAAAAATTGCTGCTACTTCCTAGTAAAAGCAGCGGCAACGCCGCATCGTTTAAATATTTTAAACGTGTAGATCAACGTGTCAATCTATACGAACCATCAAATTTTCTAATTCAGCTGTAGATTGGCTTGCCAGCAACATCTAAATAACTCTCATCGTGAAAAACCCTCTGTATATGTGCTCATTTCAAAAACAAATCCATGATTTTCATGAATAAATATCAGGATTTTGAAAATTGAATTCTTTTTCGATGAAATCCATACCAATCATCAATCCACTCACCCGTCATTCCCAAGCTAGTCGTCGACTTGGAATGCGACGCCATCTTGGACAAATTCGTCGTGCTCTGACTGTGCACCTTGGACATTTTCTCCGTCTCCCCAGCTCCCACAAAAGCCGATTTGGGTCGCCTCGGCAAAGAAGCGTTACAATTCTCGCTTAGAACGGAAGCTTCGTGATACCCGGAACTGTCCGAACTGTTCCGAGAATGGCTGATCACCAGCCCGTTGTCGATTCTGCGCAGCTCGCTCACCTCCGACACCTGGCTGGTTCTGCGGGAGTCTTCGGCGGCCGTTCGGGAGTCTTCGGCAGCGGTTCGGGAGTCTTCGGTGGCCGTTCGGGAGACTTCGGTGGACGTTCGGAAAGCTTCGGTGGGCGTTCGAGAGACTTCGCTACCTAATATATTGCATAATAAGCTAATTGATCACGTTGAACGCAACAGAATGAATGAATGAGAGTGCGAGAAAATCTAGTAGAGAACTGAATAATTTTCAGCAACTAAAAACAAATGCAAGCTTGTATATTATATCACAAAACTCGAAAAAAGGAACATATGAGATTAATAAGAGGAACAAGAAGATGTACAGGTTCTTCACGTATATTTTGAACCCCCACTAAACTTTTCATTTTATGTATTGTTCAATTTTCTTTTTAAGAAACGTTATCTCATATTTTTTTCTGTACATTTCATATATTATATGCCAATCGAAAAACAGTTGAACATCGGAAAAAATACTTATGGGCAAAATTTATGAATTTTCAATTAGGACAACCTATACTTCATTGCATTTTCAAATTCTCCCTGAAGAGCTGATTTCATCGATATGTCACACTTGTGGTCTAGTTGAAATGATTACAGAGATACAGGGTGTGAAAAATTGAGATATTTTCAACTTTAGGAATATTTTGTGTCGAAACTATTCATTATCGGCCAAAATAGATTCCTTGCCCCTACCTTAACGTTTGATTCATTATTTACTGACATTTAATTGGAACGGATACAGGGTGATCCGAATTCTGAATTTTGAACCACCCTGTACCTGTTCCAATTGAATGGCATACAATTGTTGTTGGCAATCAAAAGTTGAAATAGGGAAATGTGACCGTTTTGACCAATAATAAAAAATAATTTCAACACAAAAAATTGAAAAATCTGGATTTTCAACTCTCTGTAATTATTCCCGCTATACCCCAAATGTGATGCATTGATGAAATCAACTCCTCAGGGAGGATCTAAAAATGCAATGAAATACAGGGTGTTCCGTTCCAAATATCAAAGTTGCTACTACTTTCTGGTATAAGCGGCAACGCTGCATCGCCCATTAAATTTAAAAACTTCTGCTGACAGTTGTGACAACTATTTAAAGCTCAACAGCAGCGTTTTTTGTTGATTCTTCATAATAAATGTATGTGGTATGGGCAAAGTGTACTGAAAAATTGTAATCATACGAGTGGAAAATAAGTATTCCATGTAGGAGAGTACACTATACTTTTTCTACGATTGTAACCGCTTGATGTGACTATCTGATTTTTCCTATAATAATGCTCATCTATTAGACAGAGCCCTCCATCGTGGACAGAGCTGTCATTGCTTCACATTTGACTTTTCTTTGTGATATCAGATATGAAAATAGAATTAATGACTTATTCAAAGAACCTCATTGATTTATCGAACAAAGTACAACAAGAGCAATTCTGTGTTATAGCCTTGGAAAAAATATTTCTCACAGTATGAGCAATACCTACATGGTTTTGAAATCAAGTAAGCTATGAAAAGAGCAACTACTTGAGAATTATTCTATGCCCCGTTCTCCGTAAACGTCTAAGGTACAGGGTGATTCACTATAAATGTCCCCCTCCCCTCTAGCTCAGTTATTTTGGAACCGATCGTTAACTTTAAGGGATCATTTGAAATGATTTCTCAATAATGTTTTTTCCGCTACATCAGATAATACAGGGTACTTGGAACAAACGATCTAGAGGGTACTAGTTGATTTCTTGAAATGGGACACCCTGTATTTCATTTTATTTTTATATAATCCCTGAAGAGCTGCTCCTATTGGCAATAAAAGCGAATAGCTGGCTTTGAGCGCCGATATCTCAAAAACTATCTGTTCTATCGGGCTGATCATGGTCTAATTCGATTCAGCGTGTCATTTTCTACTGGAAAAGCGATAAATCGCGTGGATTTCCGCCGCGTTTTCTGGCACTTTCGGCCGTCCGAAGATGGCTCGGTGACTATATCGTACTGAAGTCCCAGGTGGGAAAATGAAAATTTTTATTTGGCTTATTAAAAATCTGAAAAAATTCACATAGACTAATTCGATGTCGTAATTGACGAATCTGTGGTGCAAATCGGGAAATTTTGGAAAATGAACACGTAGTAGCATACTGGAGTGCTCCTATTGACAATAAAAGCGAATAGCTGACTTTGAGCGCCGATATCTCAAAAACTATCTGTTCTATCGGGCTGATCATGGTCTCATTCGATTCAGCGTGTCAATTTCTACTGGAAAAGCGATGATTCGCGTGGATTTCCGCCGTTTTCTGGCACTTTCGGCCGTCCGAAGATGGCTCGGTGACTATATCGTACTGAAGTCTCAGGTGGGAAAATGAAAATTTTTATTTGCCTTATTAAAAATCTGAAAAAATTCACATAGACTAATTCGATGTCGTAATGGACGAATCTGTGGTGGAAATCGGGAATTTTGGAAAATGAACACGTAGTAGCCTACCGGAGTGCTCCTATTGGCAATAAAAGCGGAGATCTGACTTTGAGCGCTGATATCTCAAAAACTATCTGTCCTATCGGGCTGAACATGGTCTCATTCGATTCAGCGTGTCAATTTCTACTGGAAAAGCGATGATTCGCGTGGATTTCCGCCGTTTTCTGGCACTTTCGGCCGTCCGAAGATGGCTCGGTGACTATATCGTACTGAAGTCTCAGGTGGGAAAATGAAAATTTTTATTTGCCTTATTAAAAATCTGAAAAAATTCACATAGACTAATTCGATGTCGTAATGGACGAATCTGTGGTGGAAATCGGGAAATTTTGGAAAATGAACACGTAGTAGCCTACCGGAGTGCTCCTATTGGCAATAAAAGCGGAGAGCTGACTTTGAGCGCTGATATCTCAAAAACTATCTGTCCTATCGGGCTGATCATGGTCTCATTCGATTCAGCGTATCATTTTCTACTGGAAAAGCGATGATTCGCGTGGATTTCCGCCGTTTTCTGGCACTTTCGGCCGTCCGAAGATGGCTCGGTGACTAAATCGTACTGAAGTCTCAGGTGGGAAAATGAAAATTTTTATTTGCCTTGTTAAAAATCTGAAAAAATTCACATAGACTAATTTGATGTCATAATAAACAAATCTGTGGTGGAAATCAGAAAATTTTTGAAAATGAAGACGTAGTAGCCTACTGGAGTGCTCCTATTGGCAATAAAAGCGAATAGCTGACTTTGAGCGCCGATATCTCAAAAACTATCTGTTCTATCGGGCTGATCATGGTCTCATTCGATTCAGCGTGTCATTTTCTACTGGAAAAGCGATAATTCGCGTGGATTTCCGCCGTTTTCTGGCACTTTCGGCCGTCCGAAGATGGCTCGGTGACTATATCGTATGGAAGTCAATGCATCACAGTTGGGGACTAGCGGGAATAATTATTACGTGTTCAAAAACGAGATTTTTCAACTTTGTGTTCAAAATATTCATTATTTGTCAAAACGAGTCATATGTCCCTATCACAACTTTTGATTTATTATGTATTGACATTTAATCGGAACACTACAGGGTGGTTCAATGAATAGCTTCGACAGAAAGAAATCCTTTAGTTGATTCGATTTTGAACACCCTATATCTCTGTAATCATTCACGCTAGGCTCCTTGTGTGATACATTGATGAGATCAGCTCTTCACGGAGAATCTAGAAATTCAATGAAATACAGGGTGTTTCATTTGAAAAAATCAACAAGTAACCTGTAGATCGTTCATTCCGAGCACCCTGTATTTTTTCATGTAGCGGTGAAAAACTTTATCAAAAAGTATTTCGAATGATGCCTCAAAGTTTGCGATTGATTAAAAAATAACTGACCTAGATGGGAGGGACATTTATGGTGAATTACCCTGTACCATCGACCGCGTGATCCACCCTGTATATTTTTATGTGTAATTCTTGCATGAATTGTTCCATGACCTAACTCATAATTTGTAGCTCGTGAAAGTTTTTCAAAAACAGACCAATCAATTCATCCATCTAATCTATCTTACTAACCTCGTCGCGAATCTTCGGTAGCAGTTCGGGAATCTCCGCTACTCCTTCGCGCTTCCTCGGTCGACTGCGGCGGTTTGGGGGCGGGGCGACGCTTGCGCTGCGGCGGTTTCGGTCGGACGGTGGGCGGGTCCTTTTTGGGCGGCGGCGCCAGGATTGGCTGCTGGACGTTGGGAGGCGTGACCGAACGAGAATCGTCGCTGTGGGTGGGGGAGATGGAGCGGGTGTCGCTCGATATCGAACCGGAACCCATGCTCTGAAAATAAAACGAGTGGTATTCGAAAAGATTATTCAGTGAATATTTTGAGATTATGGAATGAGTGTGGCGAGGGGATAAGTCATAGAAAACTGTGAATATTTTCCGTAGTCAAGTGGTATTCAGGAAGATTATTTAGTGAAATTCAAAATGGTGCATAAATCAAGTATTCACATGTTTATTCGAAACTCCTTGTCAAATTTGAACTTGGCTATAGGACAATTATCTGTTGATTCTTCTATAAGATGTGCCGTGGTCGAGTGGTATTCAGTAAGAATATTTGATGATTACAAAATGGTGAAAAGTCACGAAATCACATAGAACATAATATGAATTGAAATCAAGCAGTTTTCGCTCGGAATCGAACTGGCATCCATGCTCTGAAAATAAATCGAGTGGTATTGGAAAAGATTATACCGTCAATATTTCGAGATTATGGATAGAATGTGTCGAGTAGATAAGTAATAGGAAATGGAGTATATCTTTCGTGGTCAAGTGGTACTCAGGAAGATTAATTTGATGCTATTTAAAAGGGTGGAGAATTCAAGTTAAATTTTTTGTTTCTTAAAATTTCCTGTCGATTATTTTTCTATATGTGTCGTGGTCGAGTGGTATTCAGTAAGAATATTTCAAAAATTACAAAATAGTGAAAGGTCACAAAATCACATGGAACAAATGAATTGAAATGGAGCGGTTGTCGCTCGGAATCGAACCTGAACCCATGCCCTGAAAGAAAACGGTTGGTGCGGGTTATGATGATCGAGTGATATTCGGAAAAACTATTCTGTGAATATTTTTAGATTATGGATTCAAGTCAAAAGAACTCGAGTATATTTGCAGTGCTCGAGTGGTAGTCAAGGAGAATATTCGTGAAATTCAAGATGGTAGACAATTCAAATTCTCACATATTTACTTGATGTTTCTTGCCAAATTCAAATTTCGCTGTGGAAAATGGGACCTCGTTTACTCTTTCATTCCCTGAAATTGTCTAACGATTCTTGTTAATCCTCGATATATTTTTTTTTAATTCCTTGGAATTATACGGGATTCTATTACATTTGATTCCTTGAAATCCCTGGAATTCTATATGTATCATGGTCGAGTGGTATTCAGCAAGATTATTTCATGAGATACAAATTTGTGAATAATTCGAATTGTCACAAAATCTCGTAGAACATACGAATTGGAAATTGCTGAATCTCACTCCATATCATTATCAAACAAAAAAGCGAGCTCATGTTGTTTGACGCACTGACGCCAGGCTTTATGATGGTTTAACATGAAACGTGGGCAAAACAAATTCCTTAGCTTTATCAGTTCATTTAGATAACATTGTACAATGTTACTGAATTCAAGATAATTTATGCGCCAAAAAATTATCAAGAGATAAGAAATAATTAGATTTTTCATAGTGGTCACTGGTCTGGAATTTCAAATCTTACAACTTGTAGATATCATAAATGTATTTAATATTAGAACTGGGCATTATATTTCCGATTTAGTTGCGTCCTGTATTCATATTTGATAAAAAAATTAAGAGATTCTCAGCTTTGCATAAGCGACAAAAATAAATCATCACAATTTTCATTCTGTACTCACTGATTTTCCTCTTCGGAATATTAAATTGAATACACCCCCACCAGTCTTGTTATGCATCTGTTTTCGTTCTTCTTCTTTTCTGAGCGCCATTATATCACTCGTGGAGAAAGCCTGGCTTATACTAACTGTTCCTTTGGACACTACGTAGATTTCTGTTATCTGATAATCGCTCAGAGTCAATTTGGGATCCAAGATTTCGTCTAAGTTGGCTGCAAGAAAGATAAAAGATTGTTTGAATATCAAACACATACAGTCGGTACACAGTTATAAAGTTGCGTGAGCAAACAGCCCGTATACATATACAGGGTGTACATGTATCAATTCACAACTGGGGGTCATCAATTTGGGAAATTAAAAAAAATCATAGATTGTTAATTTGACTCATTCAAAAAGAATCCAGATTTTTTGATGTATAATAAATTGATATTGATATTCAATGTTTTTCTTTAAATACACTCAGTTCCAATAAAAGTGACGCACTTGATATTTGACCTATCTATCTTCTTAAAAAAAAAAAAAAATAGTAGGCCGATTTTTATTTTTTTTTATTTGTTGGCAGGTAATGCATTTGTCTTCAAAAACAATTGAGGTGAAAATTTTCTCAAAGACTCCTTGATGGTGGTGGAATAAATCGAACCATGATTTATTCTTAATTTTTTACTCACCCTGGGTGTTGAGTAATGGCATAGAAAGTGCTTGCACCCTATACGAAAGAGGTTTCTTTTGCGAGCATTTTGTTTTTTTATTCATTGACTTATCTCTAAAATTTTCCGAATGACAGCTTTTTTTCCTGAATCCCGGCAGATTACCAACTTTCTGAATTTATCGAGAAACAATTTTCTAATGAAATGAACTGATACCAATAATTTTAAAAAACATTTTTATTAAACACAAAATTATGAATTGGGATGACTGCTTAATACCGTGTATTGCCTCCTCTAGCAACTCTAAAAACTTTATCGTTTCTGTTGGTATACGATCCCATTCTTCCACTAATGCATCTGCCATTTCTGCGAGACTTTCCGGAGACCTCTCGCGAGAACGTACCCTTCTCCCTAATTCATCCCACAAATGTTCTATAGGATTCATATCGGGGCTTCTCGCAGGCCATTGTAATGTGGTAATATCAGTAGCTTCTAAGAAGTTTCGCACTATTGCTGCGGTGTGTGGTCGGGCATTATCCTGCATCAATATAAAATTATTGCCCACTAACTCTGCATAAGGTAAGACATACTGCTCTAAAATGTCAATGTAAATTTGGGCATTCATCGACTGCCTCACCGGAAAAACATGAAGGGGTGTCTTTCCATTCATTGAAATCCTTCCCCAAACCATAACGGACCCACCATTAAAACTTTCGCATTCTGTTATTAAATTTTGATCAAACCGTTCACCAGTTCTTCTCCACACTCTTTTTGTTCCATCCACTATGTTAAGGCAAAACCTTGACTCATCCGTAAACAAGACATTCGACCATTCAGGAATATTCCACTGTCCATAATTTTCAACAAAATTTCTTCTAGCAGCACGATGTTCGGGCAATAATTTGGGACCTTTTGCAGGTCTCCTAGCTTTCCAATCAACTGCTTTTAGACGTCTACATACCGTCTGCTTACTTACTGCAACATCACGAATTTGGCGAAGATCTTGCTGAACATTTACCGCAGTATTTGATCGATTCCGTAAAATCCGCAATCTCAAGAAGCGATCATCTCTCCGAGCGGTGCTTCCTGTTTGTTCGTACTAGCGGATTGCTCTACGAGCAGTTGCTTCATGAACTCCCACTGCACGAGCGGCGTAACGTTTACTACGCCCATCTTTTACTAACGCAACTAATATTGCTACTTGTTCAGGATTTATTTGAGGTATTTTATGTAATTTTAGTCAATAAAACAAGACACTTAATTAATGACACAACGACAAATGGTCAAATATGGAGGCATACAACAAATTAGTTGCTATGGCAACGGCATTTGTTTTTTCAAAGACAATGAGATCCTACCAGAGTACAACCCAATCAATGTTGAGTACTCTGGTCCTTCAATAAATTTGATTTGTGTGATAAACGTAAGGTATCAGCAAAAAAGCTGTGATTCGGAAAATTTTAGAGATGAATCTATGAATAAAAAAACAAAATGCTCGCAAAAGAAGCCTCTTTCGTATAGGGTGTAAGCACTTTGTATACCATTACTCAATTAACACACAGGGTGAGTCAAAAATTAAGAATAAATCATGGTTCGAGTTATTCCACCACCATCAAGGAGGCTTTGAAAAAATGTTCACCTCTTTATTTTTTTTAAGACAAATGCATTATTTACCAACAAATAAAAAAAAATCGACCTACTATTTTTTTTTAAGAAGATAGGTAAAATATCAAGTGCGTCACTTTTTTTGGAACTGAGTGTATATATCCATTTTATTCATGTTCATAATTATATATGAGAATATTCCTCTTCAATAAGAATTCAGATGTTCCAATTTTCTAGATATCTTCTTTAGAAGATACCTATTTGATGAACAACTTTAATAATGAAACATCTCAACGCGGTTTCACGGTTTAACGAGCCAATGAAGAACTAATTAATTATTAATTGACTTTAATTGCCGCTCATAGGCGATACATTTCTCACAGGAGCAACAACGGCAAAGCAGAATAATGAATTATTGTTATTAGTATTTAGTGCCTTCGAGATTTCTAAACAGCAGAATATAATTTCACAAAACACCGTTATCAGGTAATAATACTCGATCATATAAGAATCACCTTACGGGTATTTAATCGATGAAGAGCAACAGGTATGCAGAATTTGAGGTTATATCTTCCAACTTATTAACCTCTTTACTTATTCTCAACATCAAAAAACATTGGAAGAACAGTATTTTCGGATCTCAAGGTCAGCAGATTATGTTAAAATGATATTGAGCAATGAGAAGAAAGAAGAGTATATAAGTATCTACGTCAAAAGTCAAAAACTGATAATTAAGGTTAGTTTATACAGCAAATAAAACAAAATAAGGAATAATATAAAATAAGAAAGTTCAAAATGGGTATTTCCATGGAACGAATAAGAATTAGAATAAAATAAAAGATGACCAACTATTATCTTCTTATTTTATTTTATTCGAAAAATGATAATGCGCATGACCCAAATGAATTCTGTGACAGAATCTCCATAGAACATGAAACATGAAACGTCATTGTTATCAATGCCGTGATTGGATTGGTTAGTTCCTAAATCATTTTTTCATTTCAGTTATTTTTATAAACGGTGAATTCTATTCATTATTCCTTAAATTATCTTATCTTATTCCCCATTTTATTTTAATTGCTGTATAAACCCACCTTTACAGAATATCAATGATTGATGCCAACAATGAGTGTTCGATGTTTGATTGGTCTGAACCTCGGTCTGAACGCTATCAAATTAGTCATTTATTTTCTCAATCCGAAACAAACATGATCCCAGATAGCACAAAGTGATTCTGAGATCGTTCTCAGAATATTCCTGCGTGGAATATTCTCAGAATTTTCTCACAAGGTGCAATATTCCAAGAAAGTTCTCATAATATTTTTCAGAACATTCTCAGAACATTCTATGAATATATAGAACATTCCCAGAATGATCTAAGAATATTCTCAGTATACAGGGTGTCTTGAAGCCGAGCTTGAAGCGCATGGAAAATATTTCAGGGTTCGAAATAGGAGGAAAATATGTTCATAACTGTATGTTTCCAAAAGTGACCATTAGGGTGATATTTATTTCACACATTTTGAGAAAACACCACCCGAAAACTGTTATAGTTCGAATATAGAATATACATTTAAACTGATACCATACGCAGATCATTGATGCTTCACAAAATATATCATACGATGTGGGAAAGTATAAGAAATTCAGTTTCAGCACACCAAAAGGGTAGGAAGAAAGTAATTGGAGAAAATCTACAACTTTTTTCCCTTGTATAATAAATCACTATAGTTTGGTGTTCTGAAATGAGTGTGTTTTGAAGTGGTGAAATAACATTTAAAACGCCAAAAGATGTAGTAATAGTTACAGAGCTAGTGGGGAAAGAATAAGTTTGCTGCTCACCTGGATGCTTGAATTCATACTTGACAGGATCCAGATTCTTCTCTTCGCAAACCTTCTTCATGATATCTTCCAGAAGAACATTCCTGCTCACCCTGGTAACGTACAGTTGATTCCTCGGCAAATGCACCTTCAATCTAAACGAACAAAAAACAAAAAGCATTGTAGTTATTCGAAGGAATGAAAACGAATATTTGGAATTTTGGTGAAGGAACATTTTGAAATTTCGGTGGCCGGACATCATTCACCATTTTATTGAAAAAAAAACAAACAAGCTAACATAAGCGAGTTAATCGCAGAAGGAGTGAGAATTTGTATCCATTGAGTGGAATTCATTTTTTAACTTCTCATCATAAATGTTTGATATTTCAAAGGGTGGTAGGAATGCTCAAAGTCATCTCCACAAATTTTAATGATGCTGTTACACAATCAGGGACCTGTTTCGGTCTTAGAAGAGACCATCTCCAGCCTAATTGAAAGTTCTACAATACAAAAAGATTGATGTGAAAGGGTTACAATACAAAAAAGTATGATTCTATAATAGCTAGTAATATTCGTTCAGATATCCCTTTTCAAGCAGATATACAGGGTGATCCACGGTGGATGGCCTATTAGAAGTATCTGGAGAACGAGAAGAGATCATTCTGAAAATTGGGATGCTTCGCTAATTGAACATTCTCTATCCGTCTGAAATATTTTCATGGATACAGTGTTGCCACTTCTATCAGAAACAACTAGCAACTTTGTTATTTCGAATGGAACACCCTGTATTTTATTGCATTATTAGATTCTTTCTGGAGAGCTGATTTCATCAATGCATCACACTTGGGGTCTAGCAGGAATGATTACAGAGATATAGGGTGTTCAAAATCGAGATTCAATTTTAGGATTTTTTTGTGTCGAAACTATCCATTATCGATCAAAACGGAATTTAATTGGAAAAAATACTGGTTGCTTTAAGATTCAGAATTCTTATCACCCTGTATCTCTTCTAATTGAATGTCTGTAGATAGTGAGTCGAAAGTTGAGAAAGGGACATGTGAGCCGTTTTGATCGATAATGAATAGTTTCGACACAAAAAATCCTAAAATTGATAAATCTCGATTTTGAACACCCTATATCTCTGTAATCATTCATGCTAAACCCCAAGTGTGATACATTGATGAAATCAGCTCTTCAGGAAGAATCTGAAAATGCAATAAAATTCAGGGTGCTTCATTTAACATATCGAAGTTGCTAGTTGTTTCTGATAGAAGTGGCAACACCGCATCGATGAAAATATTTTAGACGGATAGAGAATGTTCAATCATCAGAGCATCCCAATTTTCAGAATGCACTGTCTCTTCGTTCTCCAGATACTTCTAATAGGCCTTCCACCGTGGATCACCCTGTATATAGTTCTTGGGTTGAAAAAAGACAATCAATCAATCAATTTTCCTTGACCCTCACCTGAAAGTGCTCTCGAAGGGCTGATGACCAGGTGCAGCGGCCTTAGTGACAGGCAGCGACCTTGACTTAGGGATGACCTTGATGTGCTGCGTGTCCAAGGTCCCTATGGGGGTGTTCGGCTTGTAGGGGAGTATCTTGTCACCACGGTCGGCAGAGGGCGCCATTCCCAACGCCTGCAGCGTATAGTTGGACAGCTGCAGCTGATGGTTGGTGGTGATCTGGACCAGAAGGTCCATCATGGGGGTGCTAGAAGTTATGCGAAACACCTGGTGTATAACTGTTCAAGATACCACAACCATTCTTGTTCAAAATGAAAACCCTGTTAGTAGGCTAGAGAGATCATATTTTCTTTTTTTTATGTTCTGGTTCCCACGAAAAGGGATATCCTGTAATGTTTAGAGAACATCGTGAGAACCAAGGGAAATAAGGTAAGAATTGGTGTTCTTCTAAAATTTCTGGAGGTTATATGCCTCGGGGAACACCTCCCTTGGCAATGTGTTTCAGAGTCTCGCTGTTCGTTGGATGAACGAGTCTGCAGGTCTCCAAAGTGACCACTAAGGGCTGCGAAGCCTCAACTCGACGGGTTAATCTCGCGGGGACTGCCAAGGGAGGAACAATAGTTGATATTTCAGAAGAGCATCGTCCATAAAAATTTCTATGAAATAGAGCCATGATGAAAATTCCGAATCAACGTATTTGTTGTCCTAACCCTAAACATTTTTATTTCAAATTCTTGTCAAGATCCATTTATTTGTCAACTTCGTTAAAAAAAATGCTCATGAGAAGCAGCTGGTGGTTGGTCAGGTCTAGGTCTAGAAAGACCAGAAGGTCCATCATGGGGGTGCTAGAAGTTATGCGAAACACCTGGTGTATAACTGTTCAAGATACCCCAACCATTCTTATTCTAAATGAAAACCTAGTTGGTAAGCTAGAGGAATCTAATTGTCTGTTGAGTGTAGAAAAAATGAGAATATCGCCCATATTGAGTACTTTTTTGGTAAGCTAGTGACCTCTATACCGAACTAAGCTATTGTTTTGTTATCTCAACCCTAGAAAAAGTTCGAATTCAATTTGTCATGTTCAAACATTCCTGCAGCTATTGGTTGGTGGTGATCTGGACCGAAAGGTTCATCATGGGGGTGCTATAACGTATGTGAAACCAGTGCCAGATTGTAAATTTAGTCGCTTTAAGCAGCACTTTTCCACATCATATTATGAAGGAACATACTAATAAAGAATGATATATTGAACATAAAAAATATTGAACTAGATCTCGTAACTATAAGAGATCTAGGATAAATAGAGTTGCCCCAATTATCAGCAGAAGGAAGAATCTGTTCATCATAGAGTCAGTTAGTTATCAGATCTAGTTCAATGAATAGGATTGGTAGATAAATCCACTCGAGTAGTCAGGTAGTGCCATCTGTGGGCATAGTGGTTTACTAGTAGTACCACTTTGCTAGCGTATTAGACGTATGAGTCTGTACGTGTCACTATAGATGTCAGTGTCATACAGTGTGTGTCGCGATCTTCATTGTCCTACCTTAGAACTATGCCAATAGATGACGATAACATGAGCACATCATTCTATAATACCGTGCAATAAGAATGTACTCAACAAACTAAGGCAATAATATGAATAAAATATAGGTAACAAACTATATTTATAACATAATTGAAATATTCAAGGGAATGGTAGTCTATTGACTGGACTAATTGAACAAATGGTATTAGGGAAAATTAGTTGGAAATATACTTTCCTTGTAGTTGCAGTTAATTGCAATTGCGAATGATGACTGCATAGTGCGCTCAATAGGTGAATATTATTTAAAATTATTCATTCTAATGAATGCTGAATCACCATGCTGCGAATATAATGTTGAAGCCTGCGCAAATGAACCAAGGTCGTAGTAGTTATGCCAGCCCGATTCTGGATCACCCCCACCATTTTGGACTTCTCGATGCGAACCCATAGAAAAAGAATGTGCGATATTGTACACTCACCTTCTCTCCACCGACATTTTGACGGACCTGCCTGTGGGAAGGTGTACCGCAAGGTCCATGGCCCCAGCCAACATGTCGGGGGGCGTGTCTTCGGTGACGTGTAGCATCGCTGTGGTGGAGCCACTTTCGCACCTGCAACCAAAAGAGAAATACAATACACAACACAATACAAATACAATTTTATTTAATGCATAGAGCTGTGAAGCTATCGGACTAGTCAGGTACAAACAAGGTTGAGATCAAGTGTATAAATTATTGGCAGCAGTATTTTTCATCTATTTTTTGAACGTGTGTACTCTTTCGATCAATTATAGTTCTTCAGGAAGAACGTTATGTAATCTTAATCCAAGTATACCTGCAGATTTCTGAGATACTGATTGATATTTCGAGTTGAGATATTTGTGGGAGCACAATTTAATCCTTCTAAAAGAACCAGTTGAGACTTTCCGGTAAAATTTTGTAGCCATATCGAATCTGCCTCTGGCCACAGCCGACTCGTGGCATCAAAATTCTGATTGCACAAAAGACTAAAACGTAGATGTTATTCTTCATTCCGAAATCAGAAAAAGTCACTGGACGTGACAGGTACTTGTGAGCAGACTACTATTCATTCCAAATATTTCGACTCAACATTCTGCTGAAATTGCTGACTATCAAAAGATAGTGGCTATATTCCGATTTCAACTGGTCAGTACTGTCTCTAAATTCACTAACAGTTCACTGAAGCCACACAACCTTTCGATAGTCAACAATTTCAGCAGGATGTTGAGTCGAAATATTTGGAATAAATAGTATGTCTGCTGACCAGTATCTCTCACTCAGTGAATTTTTTCGATTTCAGAATGGAAAATCAGCAGATTCAGTACTATAAGTTAACAAATGTGCGGACGAGGCACTAGAAGTATATTGGAGACGTATAGGCGGCTGTAGGCAATCGAGAGACCTGGTGGCCGGTCCAAGCAAGCCAAAGACGGCTTGGTTGCTGGGCAGGGATCGCCAAGTCCTGCGCCTTCTTATAGGGATACTGACAGGGCACAACAGGTTACGCAGACACCTATCACTCATAGGTGTGGAAGATAGTCCCACTTGCCGTGAATGCGGAGAAGATGAGGAGACATCACTTCACTTCCTCGGAGAGTGTGAGGCGTATAGAAGGATGAGATTCGAAATCTTTGGAGTAGATAAACTACAACAGGAAGATTTGGTCGAATTAGAGTGGACGGACATCCTGACCTTCATCAGAAGGACGGGAAGTTCCGAAAAGGACAACTAAAAGAGGGATGTGTAGATATGTGGAGAGCAGGGGTTGGGAAAAAGGGCCCATGGGGGCCTACTTGCCTGGCTACAGCCTCCCCACAATATCACTACTATTACTACTGTAAGTTGAATTCGGAATATAGCGAGTGTGGCTTCAGTGAAGTGTCATTATTTTAGAGGGGGAAGGAATATATAGTAATCAGTTCCTGCGCGGCGTTAGATGTGAACAAATTGATGTTATTGTATAATATTCAAATTTCACAAACTGATCACCTGCTACTGATTACTGATGAAAACCATGAAAACGTGTTCCGAATTACGGCCCTATTCTTGATTTTATATTTCGAAACACAGATTTTCAGCAGAGTCAGTGGACTTAAGTCGGAATATAACCTCTATAACTGAGGATCTGAAGGGTATGTCCCATGCAGTAATGAATTTGCGCCTTCGAAGTGCGCAGGAAATGTTATGGTAAATGTTCGTTATTTTCATTCTATCACCTAAATATTCCGAATTTGCTGAGTTCCAAAATACGGATTCTAATAATTAATTTTCAAGGTACCGACGTACAGTGTCATGTCAATATCAAAAGTGCCGACAATGAGTGAGATTATTGATGGTGGGAATACTGGGAATAATTTCGTACGAATCAGTTTCAGGTAGATTTCAAAACCAACCTCTTCTACATATTCTACCTAGGTAAGCACGATGTTCTACGAACAATACAGGATTTTTTTGGTGCGCTCCAAGAGATACAAAAAAATAATTATTGGCGTACTATGGGATTTGAAATGACCTCTGTGTTGGTCTGTTATGGTTAGCAAAGGCATCATAGCTCGCTAAATAAGGCTTGACGGTGATCAATTATTATAATAGTGGCATCTTCACATGCAGCCATGAATAATAAAAAGCGTCAAAACGTGGATTGGTTCTGATATTTCGCATCAGAATTGATTTCAATTTCAATGGAAGCATGTTTTGAATACACAGAGTTGTTCAGTTTTTACAGAACAACGTAATTTATAATATTACTGCTGCTTTTTTAGACAGCATTGAACTCGACATTGATGGTGTTTGAAACATAGCCATCGAGATATACACACCTTAACGTCTAGAAATCATCAAAGCATTACCTATCAACCTATCAGCCGATATTTTATCGTATTCATTATTTTATTCGTAGATTTCTTGATGTGAATTTGCTTTTATGTTCATTTCTGGAGTTCCTGACAGATTTACAGGGTGAATCACACCAGCACGATATAGATACGTATATGAGAAGTATACATCAGGGTCTTTTCGGAAAGGGCGCTGTTTTTTTTTAAGTACGATATGTTTATGATTATGTTTATCAGCTTAAATATTTACATATATTTCTGTACTCTTGAGTATTTTTCGTATCTTCCTTATCTTTCGATGGAATATAAGCCTGATTTGTTTCCAAATTTCATTAATGAAGCTTATACAGGGTGACCATGAATTATACTTTCAACTCGTACCCAAGCCTGAGCTACGAAAAATGATGGTACAGTGAATTCATGGGTATTGAGCTCAAAGAGGGAGACATAAATTGGTACACAAACACAGAGGCACATCAGATTAACAAACCTACAGAGGCTCCAAAACTGACCCTAGAGCTGGAATAGGAGTGTACAGGCCAGTACTTCGAAAGCCTTGGCAAATTCCCCAGCATATTCCAGGCAGAAGTTCACGCTATAGGGAAATGTGTAAAGTTCAATCTGGATAAAAGCTAGTCCGATTTTCAAGCAGCCATGGATTGCGTGCAAGATCTGTCAGATGACCCTGGAGGTGAGACATGAAAACATAACCTCACTTTGGGAATGATCCCTTATCACCAAAATGCTAATTGATTGATGTCGATATCTTCTTACAGAGAAGATACAAGTGTTTTGAGGAAGTATGATTTTTTTGAATTTGCAGAACATACATGAAGTTATCGAATAACATCTAGGAAACACATCTCTGAGGTGATATCAATTGTTTCCTCCTCGTTTTGTTTTAGCACTTTGTTCTATTCAAGCTATCAGATTTACAACTCATTTCATCAGACCAGAGATTATACACTCCCCCTAACGAACACCAAATGCCATGGAAAGAGTTTTGGAGTCTAGGAAATCACCATCCCATTTTTTGCACGCAAGTCAGTCACTGGAAACCACCACATTTTCTGTCTCTATCTGTCTAGATATAAAGATATATTCTCTTGTGAAATAGAAAATGATGTTGGAGTTCCCCAGGGTAGTGTTCTGGGTCCCCTTCTATTCATACTATATTTAAATGACATGCCATTGTTTGTTGCATGTGAATTCATGAACATTTTTGCGGATGATACACTATTGGCATGCAGCGATGAGAACCTGGAAATGGCTATACACAAAATGAATACTACTTTAGCAAGTGTCAACAAGTACTTGAAAATGAATAAACTCAAGTTGAATGTATTGAAAACAAAAGCGATGATAATCACCACCAAATATAAATACAGCCAAATAAACTCAAAAAATATCAACCTAAACATTGATGATGAAAGAATTGAAGTAGTTAAAACAACTAAATATCTGGGATTTCAGGTAGATAACACTTTATCGTTTGATGAACATTTTGAGTATATTCATAAGAAAATTTCAAAGAAATTATTCTTTTTCTCCAGAATTTCCAATAATCTTTCAACAGAGTCAAGAATCACAGTTTACAATTCAATTGTTCAGCCACACTTTGACTACTGTTCATCTATCCTATATCTATTCAATCAGAATAAATTGTCTCAACTCCAAAAACTTCAGAATCGTAGTATGAGGATCATTTTGAAGTGCGGTAGAGATACTCCAATTACTATTATGCTTAATGTTTTGAATTGGCAATCTGTTTCTCAAAGACTGTTTTATTTCACAATGATATTCATATATAAAATATTAAACAATTTAGGACCATCTTATTTCAAACAGTACATTGTCTTCCATCATGATATTCACCACTACTTCACTCGAAATAATAATAATTTATATATAAATAGAACAAATCACAAAAGCACTATGATCTCTTTATTTTTCAAGGGTTTTGATCAATTCAACAGATTACCAAATGCAATTAAAAATAGCCCATCTCTGAACATTTTCAAAAACGAACTGAAGAAATGTCTGTCTAATGTACATATATGATATTTATTATGTTTGTTACGTGTAGCTACAATTTTTGTTTTGAGATATTATTATGCTTGTGTTCAACTAACTTTATAATGTATTCATCCAATGTTTGTCATATATTTTAAATCATTTTAATATGTACCACATACCTATTTTTACTTTACTTTATACTTTTTTTTTAGCTTGTTTGTATACTAGGATATCCTATTTTCAATAAAGATCTATCGATCTATCTACTCCACTCAGATTCATTATGATAAAAATTTGATATTTTAGTCGAGAGCCGACGTAACTATTGCTCAGTAAATAAAATAACAAAGAATTCACAAGTTGGAACCTTTCAACGCCATGAAATTAGGCGGCTAGATTTCGTTTGTCAATAAATAGGTTGTCACATATTTGCGTTTGGTAAAACTATCAGTAACAAGCATTTGTTACCAAATATAACCTTATGAAAACTAAATGTACTGAAGAAATGATAAGATTCGATGATATTGAGTAGTAGGGGAAAGTTACCTATGATGGCATACTTAACTTTATATCAACATTGACACGTTATTAATAAGTTTGGGAGATGATCTGTGTGTAATTTGAATACACAATGACTTCATAATTGATCAGAACTCATAGCATTCTTCATACATTTTGAAATTTTTTGACAAAAAAAATTTAAAGGAAAATGACGTCAATGTGCCATCATAGGCAGGTATCCTCCTATGATGGCATACCTTCAATCCATGAGGTCTTCTGAGGTTAACCTATTCTTGAATTGAAATAAGTGCTTTATTATGGAAAGATTGATGTATTCAAAATAATGGGACAGTTCTTACAAAAACATAAACTTAGG